GGCTGCTGCATAGTATTCATTGGATGACTGTCCCACCACCTATGTACCCCTCTTCTTGCGTTGTGACCACATTTCCCCCTCTGCTTTCTTCTGTGGTTGGAGAGGAGATGGTTGAACTTCGGGACATCCCTTTAGGCACATCTGGCCCTTGGTAGCTGCCTTCCACTGGATTTCCACAGCTTGGTGTGTGGCTGGGGAGGGTTGAGACAACTATACCCCAGAGGCCAGAAAAAGAAATCCTCCAACAACCCTTTTGCCTGATGAACTCAGGGAAATTGGACTCACTCTTCACCTTTCTCCCAGACCAGCCCAAGAGAGCCTCGTGTGTCAGCAGCTGTAGGAAATGGAAATATGTCAGTTTCATTGCCCCTTCTTGTCTTTTCTCCACCAGATCCTAAGCATTCCTCCTTTGGTTATGACGTGGGGAATATCACTTCTATGCCAGAAGTTGTTCTCATCCTGTCTGGCCCCCAAGCACTGCTATCTACTATCTGACCCCACACGATATCCTCTTGGATAGATATATCCAAAATATCTCTACGTACAGATAGATATTTAAAGATGTATCTCTGAGCTTATATTCATATACAGGTACCTGGATCTCTCTCTCTCCCCTTCTCAGTATCTCCCACCTTTCCACCCTAGTCAAGCCCCATGATACCCCATGTGAACCTCTGCATTATCTCCCTCCATCCTACTCAAACTCAACCCCACTCACTCTATTATGGCACAGCAGCTAGAATAATGTTTTCAAAATATATGTCACATCACTCCCCGACTCAAAACTTTCCAAAGGCTTCTAATCACATTTGAAATAAAATCCACAGTCCTTTCCCAGTGGCATCTCAAGGTCCCAGATACCCGCTTCTATTTGATTGTGCCAAGCATAACTCAGGGCCTTTGCACTTACTATGTCCTCTCTCGATCCCAGGACCGAGATCATGACCTGAGCCGAAGGCAGAGGCTTAACCCACTGAGCCACTCAGGCACCCCTAAAACTCTCAGTTTATTTTAAAAATGATTTTATTTATTTATTTGAGAAAGAGTGAGCAAGTGAGAGAGAGAGAGAGCGCAGGCACAAGGGCGGTGGGGAGCAGAGGGACAAGGACAAGCAGATTCCCCACTGAGCAGGGAGCCTGATGCCGGGCTCCATCCCAAGACCCTGGGATCATGACCTGAGCCAAAGGCAGACACTTAACTGACTGAGCCACCCAAGTGCCCATAAAGCCCTCAGTTAAAAAAAAAAGATGTCCATTTAAGCCTATGATGAAATGTCAACTTATGTCAGGATACGATCACTTGGGTTGAGCACAATCCTCTTAGGAGAGACTCCAAAGTTGGATTTTGTGGTGTTTCAAGCAGGTGAGTAGCTCTCAGAGCTGGTGTTACTTCCCAGCTATCTCTCTGAGGACAGATATTTTGGTTTCTTTTCCAGCTGCACAATAGCATTATGGCATTTCTTTCTATGTGGACAGAGAAATATCATGCTTTGGGAAGAGAGGAGGAAAATGAGATTCATATTGTCAAAACCATGTGGACTTTCAGATAGCCTTGACTTGTACCCCAACCATGGTGGCACTCCTCTTCCAGACCACCGGTTTGGGCCTTTTTGGAAAACTCTTCTCCACTTCCAAACACTCATGCTTTTCTCTTGAAGTTGCCTTCAATGTATCCCAGAGGACCCAATATGTTTTCATCATTTCCTATATTGGTTAATGGTCACCTTATAATAGTGAGACCTTTGAAAGATGGAAAGCCCAACTTAATGCACACCAGGGTGGAAGAAATAAAAAGGAATGTAGGTGAACTTATATGTGAGGGAACAGCAGGATGCATTCCGAAGAAATGACTGGAAGGTCAGCCCTCTGATGAAGTGAGAGGGCATCTGACCTGGCAAATTTCTGTATTCTGTTAAGAAGTTTTGAAGTACCTAGAACAGGAGCGGGGAGCACAGGTCGGGAGTGTGGTGTATATGTAGAACCAATCTAGGGTCGTCTCAGTGCTTCCATGAGTTAAGTCTCCGGCTCTTGATTTCAGATCAGATCATGATCTCAGGGTCATGGAGTCTGCTTAAGATTCTCTCCCCCTGGGGCTCCTGGGTGGCTCAGTGGGTTGAGTCTCTGCCTTCGGCTCAGGTCATGATCTCGGGGTCCTGGGATCAAGCCCCAAGTTGGGTTCTCTGCGTGGTGGAGAGTTTGCTTCTCCCTCTCCCTATGTGCTCTCTCTCTCTCTCTCACATGCTCTCTCTCTCAAGAAAATAAATCAAGTCTTAAAAAAAAAATAAAAAGATTCTCTACCTTTTCCTCTGTGGCCTACCCCATGCATGCACTGTTTCTCTCCCTCTCTCTCAAAAACAAACAAAAACCCAAAAGTACCAGTCCAGATCCTTAAGTCAAAACTAAGCAACAGGTACTAGGGGAAGAAGGTAATTGCAGAGACGCAAGGAAGTTTGCACATGCAACAGAGAGTGTAAGGTTCTTGGTCAAGAAAGGCCCTTCCAACAATGTTCCCATTTTATTATTTATGTATTTATTTTAAAGATTTTATTTATTTATTTGACAGTGAGAGAGAGAGAGAGTGTGTGTGAGCACAAGCAGGGGGAGTGATAGGCAGAGGGAGGAGAAGCAGACAACCAGCTGAGCAGGGAGACCGGTGTAGGGCTCGATCCCAGAACCCCAGGACTGAGACCCGAGTGGAAGGCAGATGCTTAACCGACTGAGCCACCCGGGTGCCCCAATGTCTCCATTTTAAATGGGAAGAACTTTTTTGAATCTCTTCTTTTTCCCCCTCTTTGATCTTGTTAAGAAGGATATGGGACAGCAAGGTGAGGCCTGAAAAGGTATTTCCAAAGGTTTGCGTGTGTCTCGAAGTGTTGAAAGGGTGATGACCAAGTACCCAGTTATTTTGGCTATAGCTTACCTCTCCCTTTGGTTCCCCTACAGAGGCTGTCCTGGTTGGGTGGGCCAGGCTGAAGGGATTAAGGATGAATCAAGTGGTCATCAGGCATATAAATCCAGCCCTCTGCCCACTCGATGAGAAATGGCCAATCCCCTACTGAAACTCCGATTTGCATGCCCCAGGAAGAGGAGATCTATGCTTTACATAGCAGAACTCCCCTTCCTAGCCCATGGCAAGCACACGCTAGGCATTTCTGAATGAATGACTATTTATTGATCTCCTGTTATTGATCAGGCTCTGGGAACCGTGCTGAACTGGTGAAACAAGGATTTTGCTCCTGTGGAATTTGCATTCCAGTGTCCAAGAAATAAACATGAATTCTTCAAAGATGACTCTCCTTCCGGGTCAAGATGAACTCATGCCTTCACAAAGGTGATGACTCAAACACAGAGCCAGAGCTGGCCTTAGGACTTTGAGGTCAAGGGAATGAGGTATTCTGGAAGTCATGTTTATATAGCAAGCATCCTGTTTCAAATGAGAACTGATTTTATTCATGGCGATTGAGAGGCGGAAGCTGTTTCTGATTTAGTGGTGGGGTTGCTTCATATAACCCCAACACCGGAAAAAAAAAAAAAGTGTGCCCCGGAGAAGCTGACTGGGTTGCTCTGAGAATAAGTTACAAGGAATACAGGGAGGTCCTTAGCACAGTGCTAACCAACATACAGTAGGAATGCAATAAATAAACCTTCAAAATATGCCCCAAGTCCCATTTTTCTATTTCCACATCTGCCACTTGGTCCAGCCACCATAATCTCTCTCTCTCTCTTTTTAAACGTTTTATTTATTTATTTGAGAGAGAAAGAGAGGGAGCACAGCAGGGGGAGCGGGAGAGGGAGAAGCAGAGTCCCTGCCAAGCAAGAAGCCCCCTGCAGGGCTTGATCCCAGGACCCTGGGACCATGGCCCCAGCCAAAGGCAGATGCTCAACCAGCTCAACCACCCAAGTGCCCCACCATCATTTCTTTTAACATCATCCTAACTGGTCTCCCTGCTTATATACCTGCTCCCTGAAATCTATTCTCAACTCAGCAGCCAGAGGAGTTCCTATTACAGCTACAGTCAGAACATGACCCTGTTCCGCTCAAAACCCTCAGTGATCTCATCTTGCCCATGGTAAAAGCTGGTCTTCATGATTCTCAGGGGCCACTTGTGCTGCCATTCTTCCTTCATTGATTTTATCTTCTACCCCAGGTCTCTCAAGTCAAAGAAAAAGGCTGGACACTTCACTAGTTCTCTAACCACACCCAACACTCCTGCCTCAGGGTCTTTGCACCTGCTGTCATCTCCGTCTGGAAACTTTCCCCCAGATACTGAAGAGCTCATTACACCTGTCACTTGCTTCAAGTCACCTTTTCAGTGGGCTCTTCCCTGACAACTCTATTTAAATAGAAACACTCCTCTTTCCGTTTTTTCTATCCTTCCTTGCTTTCTTTCCATAGTAATTAACACTTTTTATTATATGGATAACCGTATACGTATTATCTATACGACACTCATTGGTGTACCATATATTTTATTGTATGCGTTATGCTATGTATGACGTATATAGGGCATCTTCTCCACTTCTTCTCTCCTGCTGACCCCGGGCAGGAATTTTGCTTCCTTCACTGCTGTATCCGCACAGCCCTGCACCGGGCCTGGTACCCACCAGGCGCTCGGTAAATAATCCGCAGGAAGAACAAATCAATAGCGAATGAATGAGCACAGGAACGAGCCACAGCCTCTAGCTCCCTGCTTCCGGTGCTGCTTTAACTCCTTCCTGCGCCAGGTAAGGATGGGGAACTCGGGAGCAACGCGCCTGCGCAGCTCCACCCACCGCGCGCGCGCGCGGGTTCGAGTCCCGGCGGCAGCTGGGCGCGGCGGCGAGCACTCCTTTGCGAGGCTGGGCACCGGCGGAGGGTTACACGCGGAGGGGCGGGGCCGGAGAGGGGCGGGGCCTGATGGGGGCGGGGCCGGCCGGGGATCCCGCGGACGGCGCCCGCGCAGCGCTCAGTCGCGCTGCCTGTCGCCGGTCGGTGCGGCTGACCCCACTCCCCGGGACCCCGCCGCCCCGCCTGCTGCCCCTGGCCCGCTCCCAGCCGGGTTCCCGGTCCCAGCGCAGCGCACGCCACCCCCGCCGTAGCCATGTCCAAGCAGCCGCGGGCCGGCCGGGAGGAGATCCTGGAGTGCCAGGTGATGTGGGAGCCTGACAGCAAAAAGAACACGCAGATGGACCGCTTCCGGGCGGTCGCGGGCGCCGCCAGCGGCCTGGCGCTGGGTGAGTGCCGGCACGCGGCCCGGGGGCTCCGCGGCCACCACCGCCTCTCCACTCAACCCTCACCCTCGCCCCGCCCCGGGCCGTGGCCTCCAGAAGTCTGGCACCCCCTCGGGATCCGAAGGGCCCCCTGGCAGGGGGACTCCCCTTCTGGGGACCGGGGCGCCGCCTTCTCCCGGGCGTTGCTGTCAAGGCCCCTGCTGCTCGTGGGAATAATCCCCGGATTTTCAGTTTTTCCCTGTTCCGGGGCTTGGAGGAGCCACCGGAATAGTGGGGGCTCCCTCTCCAGGGCGTGGGAGCTTTGTGGCGGTGGGGTTTGCCCCCTTGTCTGTGCAGGATCCTTCTGACTGTAGCATCTATGTCCCTGGGAGGGGGGTTCTATGTCCCTGGGAGGGGTCCCCACCTGCCCCCGCTTCCCCTCATGCCCCCCACCCCACCCCCACCCTGCCTTGGAACCCTGGGGACTGAGATCCCTTGCTAGTCTTCTACTTGTGAGGTGAGGCGCTCCCTGGGGTCTTGTACTCTGGCCTGGGGGGAGCTTCCTCCCAGACATGGGGGCTTTCTGACTTCTAGCTCTTCTCCTGTGTTTGTGGGGTCCTCTTGCCTGCCAGTATCACCTTGTGTTGTCCCCTCCTAGTCTCCCCAGCCTGAGTTTGCTAAAGGGCTAGCGTGGAATTCAGGCACCTAGGGGAAGGAAGGTCAGGTACAGCCTTTGGGGTTGGGGCGAGCCTCCTTCCCCTCCTGTTTACACTCCCAGCCGGCTGCAGACCTACTCACGGGCCCTCCCTCCAGCCGCCACCCTGGCTCTCAGAAACCGCCTGACCAGGCTGCATGTGGGCTAGGTGGACGAGGCTCTTTTTCTGGCTGAGAAGCACCTGCTCGCGCTTCCCTCCAGCTCTGGCGGGCTTGTCCGACTTCCTTCAGGGCTTTTCAGCTCCTCATGGGCACTTTCTTCCCCTTCGTGGCCCTCAGCTGGCTTCTGGGACTCCTGTATTCCTGTCCAGGGCATCACCGTTCTCCGCCATCCTCCCAGAAGTGGAGACTAGGTCGTCTTCCCTGCCTAGGCAGTCCTCAGCAACACTACCTTCCTTCTTAATCCCCCCCTTTCCGTGGGGGCCTTGTTCCCTCCCCCCTGAACACTGGCTGGCTTCCCTGCTTCCTGCTTTTCCTTCCTCCTCCCTTCGGTACACGCTGCTTGCCTTGCCGGAGCACAGGTCTGACTTTGTCACTCCTTGGCGCAGAGGCTCACAATGGCCCCTTGTTGACCACGGAATGTCAGACAGTGCCACCTGGCAGCTTCCAAGCCCTCCCCCGTAGGATGGATGTGTAGCTTCCACTGAGTCCCTTCCCTTGGGGGACCCAGCTCTCTCCCTCCCTCCCTCCTGCTCCCTAGACAGGGAGCACCTTGGAGACGGATGTGGCTTATTACTCGGGAGCTTCTCAGGTAGTAGTTGGTAAATTAACGTGTGTCGGGCTGGGGGAGAACAGACCTGATTCCTTCTCCCCTAAGAAGAGCCAAGAGCATGCGTCTGCGTAAACTCTGCTCCATTCTGTCTCCTGTTCCTGTGCCATCAGTAGCATAATACTCTTCTCCCGGGCTTAACTGGCTGTGCCGCTTTAGGAAACGATTGCACACGAGTTGTGATGCGGGCGAGACACTCTGGCCTGACCACCTGGATTTCAAACTGGCTCCACCACTTCTCGCTGTGATCACGAGGAAGTCAGCGGATCTTCCCGAGCCTCACTTTCCCCGGCTGTAAGATGGGCATGGCGAGAGGAGCCACGTCAGTGGCTGGTGTGAGGGTGACTGGAGGCCCTCAGGCCCAGTGGTCCCCTGCACCTGGCTGGCCCGTGGGTCACTCTGTGAACACTGCCAGGCACTGGTGGCCTGCTTGGGCCCAGACTGGACCTGAAGACTTGGCTGGGGCGGCTCACATGCTAGAGACTGCATAGATAAGGCAGGATTTCCAACTTTGTTTGAAAACCCAAAGGCCTGTGATGCTGGGTCTGTGTCTCCACGTGGTGCTGGGAAGCGGGGCTGAGTGGGGTTCACCTCTTGGTATGGGAGGCTTTCGAGCTTGGCATTTGTCTCCTCCTCCCCTTCCACTCCCAAGGGCTGAGCCAGCCTGCCGCTTCTCTCCCTTCCAGAAGCCCGGCCCTGGAGGTTTGGGCCTTTAAGAGCCAACTCACGTGCTGCCCTGTTTTTGATCGTTGTCTTCGAATGTTTTCTCCTTTCGTCAGCTCTCCAGATGCATGTAATTTCGACTTTCATTCTGCTTCGCCTTTTCAGGAACTCTGAGGATTCTAAGTCTTAAAGGCTGTGCCCTTGAACTTGTAGCCTCTGAGCGCCCCCCCCCCCCCCCCCCCCCGCATCCCCGGTGTTGTGTGTAGTGGTATGCGGTATTGAGCAATGCCGTCACTCCTTGTACGGAGAGAGAGCAAGGGCCGCATCTTCACCAGGTGCTTCCGTTGTGTTCAGCCTCGAGGCCGGACGGCTGGGGGGGCAGTCTCCTGCCTGGCTACCTGGGCACGAGGAGACTGTCCCCCAAGACTGTGGTTGGCGTGAGGTTTCTGTCCCCGCGATTCAGGAGCTGGCCGGCCTGGGCTCTTTTTCCTGCTACTGGGGCCATCGGTTGTTTTTTTTTGTTACCGCTTCTAGCGGAGCTCACCTGAGAACTCCCCGCAAGCCCCTGTAGACCTGGGGCGGGGGGACCCGGATCACCTATGGAGCGGCTCCCAGATGCCGCCCAGCCTACGTGCCTGTGATGTGAGGCCTCTTTCGCGAGACCCGCCCCCCCCCGCCTCGCGTGCTGCCCGCACCAGCCCCCCGTGATTCGGGGAGGGACACCCGCTTCAAAGTGCCTGCTGGTTTGGTGGCCTGGGCTGCGTGTCTTCGAGTGGGCTGCAAGCTTTGATCAGGTCCACGCTCCAGCAGCTGGGAGGGCATCTGCCTGCAAAGGGAAGGCTGGGTCCCCTGGTCCCAAACAGCTCCAGTGCAGCAGGAGGAGGAGGCTCGTGCAGGCTGGCAGCGCTGCCGGTGAGTCAGTAGCAAGCGCCGGCGCCCTGGCAGCCTCCCAGGCGCTCCGCCACGTGCTGGCTCTGTCGGGCCAGATCTGGAGCTGAGACTTAGAGGTGCAGGCTGGTGAAAATTCTTGTAGGTGGAGAGGAAGAAGGGGGTGAAGGGAAAGCAGGACTTGCACATGCAGATGCTTCTGGGGACCCAGCGGGCGATGGGGGCAATACCAGTCAACTTGTAGCGGGGGCTTTCTGTGCATCCGAGGACTCCGTCCTCTGTAAACTGGCCAGGTGGGAGCTGCTGGCACCCCCGTTCCCCAGCTGGGAAAGCAGCAGCTCCATCCTGGCTGGGATGTTGCAGCTGTGAGTAGCCCACCTGTAGTTTTTTCCCAGAATCATTAGTCTCTGCTGCGTTATGTGGCCTCTCACCTGTGGGGGGGTGGGGGGACAGCTGTCATCCAGCTCTGTTGCTGCTTGTCACTACGTGGTGTGACAGTGCCTTAGTGATCCAGGAGAGGAAGTTGGGCGCTGTGCTCTCTGCTAGGACCTGGACTTGGAAGTCACCCTCGGTCATTTCCGTACTATCCTGTTGGTGATGCAGATGAGTCCCGCTCAGTGTGGGGAGGGGACAGCCCAGGGATGTCAGGGCAGGTGATGGAAGCAGGGGCCGGCCACAGCTGTTCTCCTGTGTCAGACCAGGCAAGGACACAGAATTTCATTGAAACCTGACTTTAGGACATTGGCAGCTAGTTCGGGTTCTTCATGAACACCGTGTAGACGGAACACATGGGGCCGTGGAGGGGGTTACTTGGGCTTCAGGGGTGCAGCCTGTGCGCGGGGCCAGGAGTGTGTGAGCAGAAGCCGGAAGGGGCCCCTGCTTGTCCACAGAGTGGTCCCTGATGACTTGGCTGGGTCGTCGGTGGGGAATAAGTCTCTGCACCTAGTCCTTCCATTTCTCTGCTGTCCTCTATGGTCTTCATGATGTTAGGGGGCTGTTGGGACCACTCGGGCCCCCGATTGACAGGTGGGTGGCATCTTCCTCCCTCGGGGATGCTGCTGGTAACTCCCTCTTGATGGGTTTTTGAAGCCTTCGGTGGAGGTGTGGGTGTCAAACTTCTGGTCCATCTCTTGTGGGAGCCTGGAGGAGTTTTTGGTGCTGGAACTCTTTGCCCTTTATGAGGGTCAAGGTGACCCAAACCAAACAAACAAAAGACTGGGAGGGAATGGAGCTGCCAGCCTGTTTACCTGGTGTGGCTTCCCCAGCGCGGGTGGGGTGGAGGTTCCTCTCCCGCCCCCGTTCTGGACCAGAGTCCTGCTCATGAACCCTTCTGTATACTTGCACAGCCCTGTCCCCAGGTCTTAGGCCACACCGTCCTGTCCACTAGTCTGGCGTGGGACGTGCTCCTGCGAGCCAGCAATGACTCTAGGGGCTGACACGCCAGGTAACTCCTCTCTGCCAAGCACTGTTCTTAGTGCTTTGTATGTTTTGACTCTCAGTCCTGACCGTGATGCTGTGACAAGTACCATTCTCTTCCTTTTATTTATTTATTTATTTATTCATTTATTTATTTATTTATTTGACAGAGAGAGATCACAAGTAGGCAGAGAGGCAGGCAGAGAGAGAAAGGAGGAAGCAGGCTCCCTGCTGAGCAGAGAGCCCGATGCGGGGATGCGGGGCTCGATCCCAGGACCCTGGGATCATGACCTGAGCTGAAGGCAGAGGCTTTAACCCACTGAGCCACCCAGGAGCCCCCATTCTCTTCCTTTGATGGCGGAGAAACCGGGGTCCAGAGATGACTGATTGCTCATCTGGGCTCACAGGGAGAGTAGCAGGATCTGAACCCGGATGGTCACACTCTGGAGCCTATGTCTTTAAGCAAACGCTCTCCTGCTCGTTGGGGTCACTGTTGTTGTCCCCAGCTTGCCGGTGACAGTGCCGAGGCACAGAGGGTGGGGCAGCTTGCCCACCGTCCTTGTAGTAAGTGGCAGAGCCGAGATTCTGATGCAGGTCCCCCACCCCCGCCCTGGAACACAGGGTCACTCCACGGTCCTGGGAGCACCCATACCCTCCTCCAGTCGATTTCCAGGTGACACACAGGGAAACTGAGTCCCAGAGAGGCAGACTGGCCTACCTGAGGTCCCCACGCGTGATCTCTAGAGTCACGGTTGGCCCCGGTGTTCCCGATGTCCGGTGCCTCGTGTTTTTCCCTGAGTGCTCTGTTGACCTGCTGTATGGCCCCTGGCTTGAGTAGGTGGGTGGGGCAGGAGGGCACTTCTCCGGGGGCTTGGAGGAAGTGGCCTGAAGCCCCAGTTCCCTGATCTCTCTGTGACCTCTGTGCCGCCTGTCCCCATTTCGTCCCAGTTGATCCTTCTCCATCCCTGCCGCAGACCCACTCACGCCAGAGCTCCTCCCTGCCACTTGGCTTCCTCCCAGCGTGCTCACCCTGCCCTGGTGGCTAGGCCCAGCCCCCTCCCCTGCAGCATGCTCCAGCTCTCAGAGATTTCCCCCTTCCTCTGTGTACTCCCTCCCTGCCCCTCCCAGGACTGGCAACAGGGAGGACCATTAAGTCTTTAGCTGACTGATGGCAGCGAGAGAATTCAGTCCAGCCATCACGTTAGGCCATTTTTTTTCTGTTCCTGACACGCTGCTGGTCATGCCAGTGAGGGGCAGGGACTTTCCCCAGGTCTCAGGATGGGAACCCGGTGGGAAGAGCTTTCCATTAGTGTAAAAGCTGGAGAGAAGGATATATTGACTCATGCATAAAGTCTGGAAGGACGCACAAATCTCTTTAACTGGTTACTTCTGGGCAGGAAAAGTTAGATGATTGTGGGACAAGATGGAAAAGGACTTTTCCTGAATGACCTTCTATACTCTTGTTATCTTGAATCATGCAAATTTGTTGCTTACTAAAATAAAATAAATACCATTCTTCCCTCCCCCCAAACACTGTTACTGGCACAAGAAGTCATCGGTAAGCTCCTAGTTTTGCACTTCCTGATTTTCGGATCTATTGGATACGATTTTCCTGTTTGTACAGTGTAATAGTAGCAAGCTTAACGGAGTTCTCATTCAGCCCAAGGCTCTGTTCTAGTGTCTGTCTCGTGCATGTGTTCATGCTTATTTAAGTCCTCCCAATAGCCCTGTCAAGAGGGGGTGCTCTTAACCATCTCCATTTCACAGACGGGGAAACTGAGACACAGTGTGCTCAAGTAACTTCCAAAGGTCACACAGCTAATAGACGGCCCGGGCGGGATTTGAACCCGGGCCTTGTGGCTCCAGAGTCCATGTTCTTAGGCATATTGGTTGGAATATAGCATCACTGGCCAGCAGTGGTGGGTTTGCTCGGGGGCGGGGGGCAAGAATTAAGATACTCCACCTTCCCCAGACCATTTCTTGTTGGAGACCTTTGAACCGCTCATAACTGCAGTTCCTTAGGTGTGTCTGTCTTCTCACTGAGCTGCCAGAACTTTCTAAGCTTGGTTTGACCCATGTGCCATTTTATTTTATTTTTAGAAAATTATGATGACTTATACCACTGGTCAGTTGAATCGTATCCAGACTTCTGGGCAGAGTTCTGGAAATTCAGTGGAATTGTCTTCTCACGCATGTATGATGAGGTAAGTAGGGATTTTACTTAAGCATTCCCTTTTCATGGTTATGTTCCAAAATGAAGTGTTCATTTTTGGGAATACTGAATCATATTTTCTTTTTTTTTTTTTTTTTTTTAAGATTTTATTTGACAGAGAGAGATCACAAGCAGGCAGAGAGGCAGGCGGTGGGGGGGGGTGGGGAAGCAGGCTCCCTGCTGAGCAGAGAGCCTGATGCGGGACTTGATCCCAGGACCTGAGCCGGCAGAGGCTTAACCCACTGAGCCACCCTCAGGTGTCCCTGAATCATATTTTCTTTTGACACCTCACATCAGTGTGAAAAAATCATTGTTCTAGAGAGTTAGCAGAAAATTGTGTTGAGGTCAATCTAATTGTGATAAAATACATATATTGTGGTAAAATACAAAATACATATAACACGGGGAGCCAGGGTGGCTCAGTGGGTTAAAGCTTCTGCCTTCGGCTCAGGTCATGATCTCAGGGTCCTGGGATTGAGCCCTGAATCGGGCTCTCTGCTCAGCAGGGAGCCTGCTTTCTCCTCTTTCTCTGCCTGCCTCTCTGCCTGCTTGTGATCTCTGTCTGTCAAATAAATAAAATAAAATCTTTAAAAAAAAAATACATATAACACAATTTCCCATCTTAACCTTTAGTTAACCTTAACCACTTTAGTGTTCGGTTCAGTGCTGTTATTAAATACATTCACATTATTGGGATGCCTGGGTGACTCAGTCATTAAGCATCTGCCTTTGGCTCAGGTCATGATCTCAGGGTCCTGGGATTGAGCCCCGTGTCAGGCTCTCTGCTCAGCAGGAACCTGCTTCTCCCTCTCCCTCTGCTGCTTCTCCTGCTCTTCTCTGTCAAATACGTAGATAAAATCTTAAAAAAATACATTCACATTATTGTTGTTTTTTTAAGTTGTCAATAGTTTTATTATTTTTTAAACCTGAAGTTCAGGGAATGTTCCAACTCCTCAGGCTGTCAGTTGATGACTATCTGAGGAAAGCCTGTCCTGTTAATCAGTGTATAACTTCGTTGTGTTCTTGTTTAAGTGTGGGGTGAACTGTTCTGAGAGTCTTGTGTGGAGGCACTTGGGGAAGGACATCAAGGTTCCATCGTGTTGAGGAAGGAGATGAGGAGCCCAGCCCCGTCTCTGGTGGGTTGTCAGTGGGAGGGGTGGGTGGGTCCTGTAGGTCCATTTCCCAGATTTCGGTGTGTCTGGTCGGAGCCTACGGCCCTGGACACTGCCGCCCTGTCTTATGTACTCTCTGTCACCCGCAGCTCTCAATGGTAGGGCTTCATATAGGTCTGTTGAAAGAGTCCATTCGTGGGAGTGGTGGTTTCCCCTGGCATTCATTTCTTTCTTTATTTTTTTAAACCTCATGGGGGAATAATTAGCAGTGAAACCTTATTTATTTATTTATTTAAAGATTCTATTTATTTATTTGACAGCGAAAGACACAGCGAGAGAGGGAACGCAAGCAGGGGGAGTGAGAGGCAGGCTTTTCTCTGAGCAGGGAGCCTGATGCAGGGCTCGATCCCAGGACCCTGGGATCATGACCCATGCTGAAGGCAGACGCTTAAGGACTGAGCCACGCAGGCATCCAAAACCGTATATATTTAAAGTGTCCAACGTGATGATTTGATACACAGACACACTGTGGCGTTAACGCCTCTGTCACCTTACTCTCCCTGTGATGAGAATGCTGACAGTCTCCTCCCGGCAACTTTCCCGTGTGAGGTCCCGTCTGATGAACTACAGGGCGCTAATGTCTTTGCAGTTCCAAGCCTGGCGGCCAGTCCAGTGTTCAGTCTCTGAAATGATTTAATGATGTTTGGGGCCAGTGAGTTAGCGGGCTTCCTGGGAAGCAGAGTCACTTATGTTTATTACTGGTGTAGACCTCATTTGTGTGCTGTCTTGGTTTGCTTGGTTTGCTCCGTAGGTCGTGGACACATCGAAAGGCATCGCAGATGTCCCCGAGTGGTTCAAAGGCAGTCGTCTAAACTACGCGGAAAACCTCCTGCGGCACAAAGAAAATGACCGAGTTGCCCTATACGCTGCGAGTGAGTCCCCTTGGATCTTACTTTCTCCATGTCCTGGGTGCCACTCACACGGGGCCGCAAGGCCGGAGAGGCTCGGAAGTAGTCAGATCGCTGTGCGTGTTTTCAAACAATGTCTTGGCACCTGTTTTTTTCTCTTTCTTTTTTATTTCTTAAAAAGTACATAATGTTAAACATCTTGTCTGAACCATTTTTAAGCGTACAGCTCTGTAGCGTTGGGTGCCTTCCCGTTGTGGCACTTCAGCTCTCCGGAACGTTTCCATCCTGCGACACCGACCCTCGCGTCCCCCACTTCCTGTTTTGGCACGGTGTCCTCAGAGTCCAACCGTGTAGTCATGTGATGTTTTCCTTCTTGTTTGAGGCCGTGTGATGGTCCCTTGTTCAGATACCCGACATCTTGTTTGTCTCTTGATCTGTCATGGGGCACCTGGGTCGCTTTCACCTGCTGACTGTTGTGAATCAGGCTATGACAAACATGGGTGTGCACGTAGCTCCTTGAGGTCCGGCTCTAGAACCTTTTGGACAGATACCCAGAGCTGGATCGTATGGTGAGTCTCTGTTTCATTTCCCAAGGAGGTTCCTCCATACTGGTTCCCCTAACTGGTGCTCTTGGCACCTTTCCAACATCATTCAGACCTCTGTTGACTTTCTCTTATTGCTGAGAAAGGGAGGGGACAGTCATGTGATCATGTTTTATGGGAGAAATGGAGACACCAAATATTAAAGTAACCAGCTCAGAGTCACTGGGACAGTTAGCGGGGGAAACCACAGCTAGGATCTCTGCCCATTGATGTCTCCTTTGAAAATAAGGTTTAGAGACTGGGGCGCCTGGGTGGCTCAGTGGGTTAAAGCCTCTGTTTTCAGTTCAGGTCATGATCCCAGGGTCCTGGGATCAAGCCCCTCATCGGGCTCTCTGCTCAGCAGGGAGCCTGCTTCCCTCTCTCTCTCTCTGCCTGCCTCTCTGCCTACTTGTGATCTCCGTCTGTCAAATAAATAAATAAAATCTTTAAAAAAAAAAAAAGAAAATAAGGTTTAGAGATTATTCTAATTTTTGTACTAGGCGGGCTCTTTAAGAGTTGGCATAAAATATTTAAAATGAGGAATTTTCTTAGTGAGGAGACACTGTGGTTGGCTGCTAGTTAGGTGTGTGAAATGCAGGTTTTTGGTAAGCCTGAAGTACCATTGGGTTTATGTCATATTGGTAAGGTTTGAGGTGTTTTGGGGTGGATTTTCTGGGTGACTGTTTCTCCTCTGAGTAACAAAGCTTTACTTTCTTATTTTATTTTTAAAATATTTTATATATTTATTTGACAGACAGAGATCACAAGCAAACAGAGAGGCAGGCAGAGACAGAGAGAGGGGGAAGCAGGCTCCGCGCTGAGCAGAGAGCAGAGAGCTGGACATGGGGCTTGATCCCAGGACCCCAGGATCATGACCTGAGCCAAAGGCAGAGGCTTTAACCCACTGAGCCACCCAGGCACCCCTTACTTACTCAGTTTCGACGCAGCATGTGCTACTGTGTTGTGAGGAAGTAGGGCAGCAGCTGAGGAGACTGAAATTCACTGGACCTTTGGTGTTCATGACTCACGACTTCCAGTTTCAGCATGGTGACAGAATCGAATGCTGTCTACGTGTTTGCGATGGCTGTCCTTGCCTTTGCAAAGGAAACCCAGAGAGCTGTGCCCCTGCCATCACCTGCCCAGTTTTCGTGTCTTGCCACCTGTTCTCAGTCCTTCCAATCCTGGTCTACACTGCAAGTTACTCTTCGTTACCAACAGTGGTGTTACACGTCAGCTAATGATGCTTGTCCAGGTAGTGCCTGAAATGGGGGTAGATGACCTGCAGTAGCTGTGTGACCTTGGGTGAGCCCCTTAACCTCTCTGGGTGTGTTTCTGCTTCTGGCGAACGGAGAGGAGGAGAGTAAGTTTTCAGGAATAATGGAGAGTTTAAATGAGCAAATATGTAGATGTGTTTACGACAGTCCCTGCCACAGGGCAAGCGTGCATTGGTCTCCGTTGAGATTATACCTCTGAAATCCCTGTGTGGCTTTTAAGTCCTGTCGGTCCATTTCCTGCCTTGGCTTCCCAGAGCACATCTTTAGGGACGGGGTCCAGGCTCACGTCTATCCTTAAAGCCCGCAGTTGCTTCTGATGTAGATTGTTGGTTAAGAACCCCAGAGTCTTGTCTTTACGCAGCGTTTGGGCTGTTTGGTATTATTCTGCTACCTTCCTTAGTTCTTAGCCTGATGCAGTCTGGGCTGAGCATGTAAGTGTTCCTGGGGGCTGGGGATGCTACACCAGGCCTGCGTCTCTCCCTTGCTCTTCAAGGAGGTGTTTGCCTGTCCGTCCACCCATTCACTCACTCGCTCCCAGGTCTGTCTCAGATGTCTCCTTGGTGCAAGGTGCTGGGAACCTGGTGTCGAACAGAATGGCTGACCTTGTAGTGGGATGGACGGTAAGAAGGAGCATGCAGATGGTCTCTTACTTAGGATCATTCAACTTAGGACTGATGTTACGATGGTTTCACACATGCAGTAGAAACCGCACTTGGAATTTTTTTTTTTTTATTATTTATTTGTTAGAGAGAGAGAGAGATAGCTCACGCACAAGCAGGGGGAGCAGCAGGCAGAGGCGGAGAGAGAAGCAGGCTCCCTGTGGAGCAAGGAGCCCGATGCGGGACTTGATCCCAGGACCCTGGGATCATGACCTGAGCTGCAGGCAGCCGCTTAACCGACTGAGCCACCCAGGCGTCCCCGCACTTGGAATTTTGAATCCAGGTCTAGTCGCGGGCTCACGATCCGCGGTCCTATGCTCTCCCGTGATGCTGGACAGCAGCCGCCGCGCCCCATCAGCCCCACGATCACAAGGGTCCCAGACGCCCCCTACACCCTCACTGCCAAGCCGTCTGTCACTGTCAGTGCAGGAGTCAGGAAATGACACAAGACAGTTGACACTTCCTTATAAAACAGGCTTTGTGGTGGGTGATTTTGTCCAGCGGGAGGCTCATGTCGGTGCCTTGAGCACGTGGAAGGTGGGCCGGGTGAAGCTGTGGTGGCCGTCAGTTAGGTGTGTGAAATGCAGGCACATTTTGTGCTAGACCCAGTAGGCTAAGCCTTAGCTTTGTAAAATGAATGGAGGAGGACATTTACCTGGGGTTCGTTACGCCCTTGAAGTCTAATAGGAGTTGGTTTACACCCAGGTTTCAGTAGCGAGCTGTGCATGTGACACAGGCATGCCCGCTATGTGACCCTGGTCACCACAGCACCTGGTAGGGGACTGGCTGGAGGCATTTGGGGGGCCGCATCCTCCGGGAGGCAGAGAGTGGCAGGAGCTGGGAGAGTGACCTTCCTTCTCATGGGATTTCAGCCACGAGAGTCATCCACGCCCTTACGTGGCACATGTCAGTGGTTCTCTGCATCTTCCCAGGGTTGTCAGCCACCATCTCTGTCCAGTTCCTACAGTCTCTGTCACCTTGCCCTTCTGCAGCCCTAGAACCCTCCGGTCTCTGTTGTCTCCACGGGTTTGCCCGTGCTGGGCATTTCCTAGAGATGGGATCCCATGTGGCCCCTTGTGTCTGGCCTCTCGCTCGGCCTCATGCTTTCAAGGTCCCACCACCCTGTGGCAGCTGTCATTGCTTCCTTCCTTTTTATGTCCTGGTCACGGTCCGGTGTGTGGATCTAGCGCTTTCTGTCTGCCCACGAGTGGCCCTTTAAGGGCGGTCCTGCCCCATGCATTGGGGTCCCTTGGTGAACACCGCTTGGCACATGTTATAACCTGAGGGGCGGAAACGCTGGGTCTCTCATCGCTTCTCCTCCCCCGTCAGATGTACCTGCACTTTCCCCTCGGGCACTATACCGGGTCCCGGTTCCTCCACTGAGAAAGTGGGGAAGGTCAGATGGGACTCTTCAGACCGACAAAACAGAACCAACATGGAAACTGGTAATGCGAGTCACGAACCAGACCAGTCTTCTGGGCGGGCAGTGTTGGATGGACCCGGCCGAGTACTCATGCTCTCACGCTCTCCCTCCCTGGCTGGACCCGGACCCTCTTTTCTGAAGTCCAGCTGTGTCTTGAGCCTGAGTTAGGGAGTGAGTGGTCATTCCGGGTGTGCGGTGGCTGTTTCACACTTCTCCCTGCGCACTCTCTCCTACCCACTGCTGCCATTCCCTCCCCTTAAATAGGAGAACCCCTTCTTCTAATGAGCTCCCCCTTGTATTTGCAGTGGAAATAAGTGCCCTCAAGCCAGGGTCCAACTTAACTTACAAATAGGGTACCTTCTTCTCCTTTTTTAAAAAAATTTTATTTATTTGACAGCTCGAGCGAGAGAGAGCACAAGCAGAGGGAGCAGCAGGCAGAGGGAGAGGGAGAAGAAGTCTCCCCGCTGAGCAGGGAGCCCAATGCAGGGGCTCGATCCCAGGGCCCCTGGGTCCCTGGATCCCTGGATAATGACCTGAGCCGAAGGCAGATGCTTAACCAACTGAGCCTCCCAGGCGCCCCACAAATAGGGTGCCTTCTTAAGCTGGGTCCTAGATTGGCTTGGGGGCTTCAGGGTCACTGTGTTTCATCTTCTGCGTGTTTTCCTGATTTCCTTCCTACTCTCCCGGCTGAGTGCAGGTGCTCGGGGAGTTTTCCTTCCTGCTCACTCAGACGTTCTCAGTAGACCCCATACCTCCCATGTTTGATCCCAGGCATGTTTGATCCCGGGTGAGGCCACGAGGTGCCGCCAAAGGAAAGCGGTTCACCCGTGTCTTCAAGCTCCAGCGAGCAGAGCTAAAGCAGTACGGATTAGCCCCGTCAGCATGGCCTTTCTGAGAACAGCTGCCCGCACAGCACGTTTTGTCTTTCAGCAGTGGGTTTCAGGTTGCTGGGTATCTTAATAGGATAAGAAATCACATGGGGGAAGGGACTATGGGAGAAGTAATTACAAGGCTACCCAATGAGGAGAGAAGAGGACCAGGGGTAGGCATACATAACTTTAAGGAAATGGGAAAAGCAAGATTTACACCAAAGAGAAATCAGGGTGTTTGGAGGAGTGATGCTTCGTGTTATAGAATTGAACAGCAGTTAGCAGTCAGGAATAAAATATTTGCCTCCAAGACAGTGGTCAGAGGAGTAACGTCTTTCCACTTGAAAGTACGTTCAAATAATTTTCCCACACCCATGCATTGTCAAGTCTGTCTTCCTTCCTTCCTTCCTTTCTTTCTTTCTTTCTTTCTTTCTTTCTTTCTTTCTTTCTTTCTTTCTAAGATTTTATTTATTTTAGAGAGAGAGCAAGCATGCAAGCAGGGGCAGGGACAGAGGGAGAGGGAGAGAGGATCCTGAGCAGACTCTGTGCTGATTGTGGAGCCCCAAGTGTGGGGCTCAGTCCCAGGACCCCAAGACCACGACCTGAGCCAAAATCAAGAGTCGTGAGTTAGGGAGGTATGGTGGTCATTCCAGGTGTGCGGTGGCTTTCACACTCTTCCTTGCGTGCTCTCTCTTGCCCACTGCTGCCATTTCCTCCCTTTACATAGGAAAACCCCTTCCTTTAATGACTGAACTACCCAAGTGTCCTGATTGTACTCATTGCCTGTTGCTGAGGAGCAAATTACCTGAAAACCATGGCTTAATATAATAAGCCCTTAGTGTCTCATGGCTCCTGTGGGTGGCATGTTCAGAAATGGCTTGGCAGGGCGCTTCTGGCTTGGGGCCGTCCTCTGAAGTTGCACGAGGATGTTGGCAGGGGCTGTGTCATCTGAAGGATTGACTGAGGCGGGCAGCTCCATATTCAAGATGGCGCACCCCCATGACTGTCGGTGAGAGACCTTGGTGTCTCACCGTATGGCAGCTGGATCCCCCAGAGTGAGCTAGCTGGAAGCTGCCATGTCTTCTGTGACCAAGCCTCAGAAGTCACTTGTCTCCAGGGTCCTACTGGTGACCCGGCTCGGGCGCTTTCCCTTCCAAGAGCATGAGCACCAAGGGCAGGTCTCCCTGGGATCATCAGGGGACCAGCCAGCACACTGTCCTGTTATGTTATTGCCATCTGTTAGGTGAAAATTCATGTCTCGCTGTTGTCATGTGTTGTTTCTTCGACAGCGAGGCTGGTCATGCTGACCTCTTAGGCTAACTTCCACATAGACATCCTTCTCTAGGAAGTTGAGTAAACCCGTGTCTGTGTGACGTTTCCGGGCACCCGTTTCTAACCCGGGTTTAAACTGTGTGAGTTTTCCTCCTTGTCTGTGACTGAGAACCCGTCTTTTAGGGCTGTCTCTACAGTCTGTTCCTTTTCTCTTCCCAGGGGAAGGCAGAGAGGAAATTGTGAAGGTGACATTTGAAGAGTTGAGGCAACAAGTGGCTTTGTTTGCAGCAGCAATGAGGAAAATGGGTGTGAAACAAGGAGACCGGGTGGTCGGTAAGTATTTTTGGTTCTTGTGGTTTTGCGGTGGGGAGACTGAGGTAGAGGGACTGGATTGGAAGGTTGAGGCCACTTTTTTACAAGATGGCAGATTACATGCAGCCTTGTAGGACTTCAGCGATCTGTGCTCGATGGAGGCTAGATACACAGGGTAAGTCATGGCACAGGGAGAGTGCAGGGTAGTCCACGCAACAGAGATAGCCTGTGCAAAGGCCCTGAGGCTCATGGGAGCAGGACACCTGCAGGGTTGACAGGAGTGTGGTGGGCTAGGTGTGCAGGGCAGGCAGCAAGGCTGGCAGGGACTGCCCTTCTGGAAGGAAGCAGGGTTGGAGTCCTCAGACCTGAAAGGGAGGCCTGGCTCCTTCTCCATCTCCATCCCCTGTCCCCTCGCCAAGTCCCTGCCTTCCTTTGTTCTCTCCTAATCTGGTGGTGAGTCATGTTTCTTACAGTTTTCTTTTCACTTTGACTTCAGGAGGACCTTTAAAGGCCTCTAAGTGAACCTGGTCTCCACGGCAAGGCACTGTAGTGAATTGAGATGTGGGTGGGTGTATCCCCAGGGGCAAGCAGCAGCAGGTAAGCAGACTAGCCTGCCTCCCCCACCCCCATGTGGTGGTGGGACTGGGACCATGGGGCAGGGGAGGCAGCTGGGGAAGCTGCTGCTGGGCCTCTCCCCAGATAGCTCACTGCAAGTGGGCATTCAGCGTGTGTTTACAAAGAGGGCGGCCTTATCATGTGTAAACGGAGGAAAGGGCTGTGCCCGCGTCTCCTCGCTTGGCAGCTGGGCCTGGGGTCCCTGCTAGGACCTGACTAGCTCCAGACAGTAGGGATGTACCAAGTGGCCTCCTGTCTTAGCCCTCGGGGGGGGCCTTCCTGTGGTTGGTCCCTGTGAGCCCACAGAAAACCCGCCACCACTCTCTCCCTCTCTCCGCACACCCTGCTTTGTTTTTCTGTTCTCCTCATAGACCACCTGGAATCTTGGGGTTATTAGTGTGCACACACGCGTCTCTGTCCTCCCATACTAGAGGACTGGGGCTCTGTCTTCTGTTTGCTGCCGCGTCTCAGTGCCCAGGGAGGCGGGCGCACAGCGGGTGTGTGATGAACACGGAGTGAGCGAGTGTGGGTGCGGGGCCCGTGGTCACAGCAGGCATCTCGTGGTCGAAGGCTCAGTATCTGGGATTCTTCTTCCAATTTAGCCTGCCCTTTTGAGGTTTAGAAAAGGATTTTAGAAGGTCCTTCTTCCAATTTTCATTAAAAAAAAAAATCTCTTTCCAAAGCAAATGTTTTCTGAGAGAAGGAGAAATGGAGAACCAGGTGTGTTGGGGAAGGTGGCTGAGAGCCCTCCGGGGAGGGCACACCCGGCTCTGAAGAGTCAGGCTGGTACCTGGCGACCGGCCCTCGTGGGTGTCACAGCGTGGACACTGGACCGTAGTTCCAGGCTGGGGGCTGTGTTTCCCTGACGGGGGCACGAGGGAGTGACCCCCGGGGAGAGGCATGAGGGGCTCCTCACACTGCGGTGGGGCTGCCCGTGGGGGGCTTCTCTTGTCTGTGACTTGCTCATCTCCTGGCCCTCTGCCAGTCTCCACCAAGTCTGGCTGTGCAGCCTCCCAGGGCTGGGTCCCCTCCAGCCCCGGGGACATTGCAGTTTACACACCAAACTCAGCACATGTCTGCGGGCCTGCCTGTGGCAGGTGCTGGGCGCACCCTGCCCTCTGGGACACTCCTGTCCTGGCGGGAGTGGTCACAGCTGAGAGCAGTGGGGAGGGAAGCAAGGGGAGAGCTGAGCTCAGGGCCGTGGGCGCCAGGACTGTGGGGCTTCTGTGGTTACCAGGGGACCATGGCCCCCTGTTCCCTGACGCCTCATGCGTGCTCCTTTCCTCTGGAACACTTAGGATGATCTGTTTAATGGACCACAGTCTCACTGGCCACAAAGATTCTTTCGGTCTGTTGTGGTAAAAGCCCAGCCTCCTGTCAGATGGAGGGTCTGTGGTGCTTCTCTTATAGTCTCGTGACTGTCCTGCTCATCGTCTTCATTCCCTTATTGCCTCTCCTTCTCTCCCAATCTGTCCACCTGTCTGTCCATCTTTCCTTCCCTCCATCCACCTGCCAGCCAGCTCACCAGTATGAAGGCCCTGATATGCCGGGCATGGTAAAAGGTACTTGGTAAAGCAAAGAACAAAACAGGCAAAGTCGCTGCCCTCCCATGAGAACCAGATATAAAATTGCCACTTACAACTATTAGATGTAGGTGACTGTTAAGGTTAATTTGGTGAGGGAGAAATAGAGTGTGCTTTGTGGGGACTGGCCAGGGAACTCGAGCTTATGGGTGACCTTGGAGAGGGCATTTCTGAGAAAGTCTCATTTGCATTAAGAGCTGAATGATGAGTTTGCAGAGTCAGGAAGGCTGGTGGGTATGGAAGAGTGTTCAGGCAGAGGAAACAGTCTGTGCAAAGGCCCTGGGGCAGGAGGAGCTTAGAACAACTGGAGAACTGAAAGAAGGCTGTGACTGAGCCCAGTGTGGGAGGCAGAGTGGAGGGAGAGGAGGCCGGGGCCGGATCCTGCAAGGGCTGGGGGGATCACCCTGGTTAGGTTGGGTTGGAGGGGGTGACAGTAGGACATGGACAGGCTGGTGATAAGTGGTGGGGCTTTCTGAAGAGGCAGTGTCCAGGCACTGGGGTGAGGTGGGGCTGGCCGTGCTCCTGGGACCAGCGAGAGCCAGCCCCTTTCCCCACTCCTGCCCTTGCTCTCAGTGGTGCCTTTTAGAGGTCTGCCATGTCCAGCATACCCTGAACCCAGGCCTTTCTCCCTGTGCCCAATGACAGGTTATTTACCCAACGGCGTGCATGCTGTGGAGGCCATGCTGGCCGCAGCGAGCATCGGCGCCATCTGGAGTTCCACATCCCCAGACTTCGGTGTGAACGTGAGTTGGGGTTCCCACTGATTGCCCTGGGGGTGCGGCCACAGTGGCAGAAACATTCCCATGCGGTTTCTGCAGGGAAGCACTCTGCCCCTCTCTGACATCTTGGGCAGGGGTGCGGGAGGCTGTGCAGCAGGACTGGTGGGTCTGGAAGGCGACCATGTCACCATGGCCTCCCATCTCACGGCTGGTGACATGAGAAAAAGAGAAGGAGCCAGAAGGAGCAGAGTCTTGTTTTTCAATCTAAAAGTGAACGAGTCTTCCTTTTTTTAATATTACTGATGTCCTGTCCGGGTGTATGGACTGCGTCAGCATGTGTTCTGTGTGACAGATGGCTCTTGGAGATCTGGCTAGAGGGGGCTGGTCATCTGTCCACGGATCCGTGACCACAGGAGATTTTTCTGTAGACAGTCGTCTGGATTTGCTCACAGAAGTTCCCCCGAGACCTCCCTGCCATTTCTGATCTCTTACTTTGAATTATGCTCTCTGTGCTCTGTGCGGGAGGAGGGCAGACCTCCTTCTCTCTGTGAACCCCGCAGGGACCTCGGGTACATCCAGCTGCTGGAGTGACCTAGGCAGGGGCAGGCAGCTCACGCTCAACCCCGCCATGGAGGGCAAAGCAGTGGCAGAACAGGACTTACCCAGGGCCCTAGGGACCTCTCCTGGTTGCAGAGCCTTGGGGATGAAGGGCCATCAGGAGCCACGAGGACAGACCCCAGTTAGAGGACCCGGGGGGCATCCATGACCACCAGCCACTCTGCCCAGCGTCAGACTGCTCCGCTCTCGGCACAGTCCCTGCTCTGGCACGGGACCGTGTAGCCCAGTGTCTGAAGGTTGGCCTGGCCTTGCCAATAGCGCACCCTTGGCCAGCTGTTTATCCTCCATGTGAAACGGGCCGTGGGAAGGCAGGGCCACGAATGAGTGTCGGAGGTTCGGGCCGTGGTCGGCACACCCGCGGCAGGTGCAGCCACTGGCGGCGTCGGAGCTCAGGGCCCTGTGGTCAGTGTGCGTCTCGGCTGCGGGGTAGGTTTCTGGGTATGAGCCTGATGCTCACATCTGCCTTGGGACTTGCTGTCCTGGCAAAGGTGGTCCCGGTACCTCTCATTTTCCCGACGCTGTGCAAAAGAGGAACAGACGTGCTTCTCTGGCACAGGGGCCTGGAGACGTGCGGTGACCTGACTCTGGGGCGAGGCCCGAGCTCTGCTGAGTTCAGGGAGGGGTGGCCGCCCCAGACCTCACCACTTGGCGTGGTTTTCCTCCTGGGGCTTACGTGTGCCTGTGCCTGCTTCACCCCGTGGAGGACCACCCTGGGTCAGCCAGGACTGGAGCTCTCTGTGCAGCCTCCAGTGCCCCAGGCTGTCTGTGAGCCTGTGAGAGCTGCTCGGGGCCAGCGGCATCTGCACGGAGGGTCTTGGAAGGTGGGGGCCAGCCCGTCCCTGGGCACTGTTCCCTCAGACCCCTCAGCAGCCCTTGATCTGTGTTGCTCAGAAGCAGGGCCGGGCAGGCAGTGCGGCGCGGTGGTTCCTCCCTGGATTCGGGTCTGGCTTTGCTGCTTCCTGGCCGTGTCCTCAGTACACACCGGGGAGCTGGCGAGAGCCACAGAATCATGCTTTTGCATTTGCCTGTCAGGGGCTGGGGGCGGCCCTGGATGCACCACGCGGGACGGTACGTATTAGCCGTTATCCAGGAGGCCGATGGTCTTAAGTGGCATTGGAGCTTTTGACACAGGAAGATGTCGGGAGAGCTGTGTGTGGCCCTGGGTGGGCCGGGGGGCAGGGAGCAGGCGTGGCCCTGTCTGCAGACCCCCTGCAGAACAGAGCTCCTGGTGGTCCCGGTGGTGCAGGTGGTAGAGGGAGGACATAGGCAAGCGTCTGGCCACCTCCCTCCCGGCTGTTCTCGCGGATCACCGTCCTCTCCAGGCCACTCTGCGGGTGCTGGCGCACACTAGATGGCAGTGTGGCCCCCTCTCTCCGCAGCCTTCAGCACGCCTGGGTCTGGGGAGTCTCTCTGGCCTGCTGGCCAGCGTCTCAGGGGATAGCGCTCCCTGGTTTCCTGTCCCGGGGCCAGTCTTCCCTAGTGCAGGCGGCCTTACCGCTAAGCGTCCCAGCCTGCAGGCCCAGCTGTGTCCCCGGCTGGTGGGAACGCTGGGCTTCTCACTTCAGCTGGCGCTGCCACGAGGACACAGAGCCACTCCGGGGTGTTCAGGCTGAACGTGTGGGTACCCGTAGCAAACCAGAGTGGGGCCTGGCATGCGGCCCTTGGTGCATGGTAAGGGATTTTTATGGGCAAAAAGTTTTTTCCCAGAGAAACCAGCAACCCTCAGCCCATCTTAGAATCCTGGGCTTTTAGAGTACAGTTTTGCTGTCCTGCATGTGTACATCACCACGGTGTCTTTTATCCCCCTAATGGTTTTCCTGGTGAGCCTCATGAATTTTCCACATAGCCCTTCCCCTTGTGTGCGTGGACAAAGCGCCCGGTCTTTACGCCTCTCCCTTCTGGTTCCCACCTCCCCGGGATTTTCTTGGGGAATCATGGCTTCACTGTTTGTGCTCTTAGAGTAACCCGGGTTTGATTGTCAGCCGCTGGCCTTGGACCGATACACAAGGGAACAGAAGGGGCGTTCTGGGCTGTGCCTTCCCAGGAGCCCTGTTTATGGATGAAGAGGGCTCCACTGTGTCCTGAACTTAGGGGGAGACCCAGCTGGGAGTGCGTTTGCCTGTCACCCCTGGGAGAACACTCGGGTTGTGTGGAGTGTGTCGTGAGGCTGCACCTGTCAGTTCCCATCAGTTCACAGCAGTCCCAGAGACCAGGTGTGACCTGCGTGGGAAGCCAGCGTTCTTCCAGAGAGAGACATGTGCTTGGCAGGATGGCGGGTTCCACGTGTGCTGTAAACAGACACGTGGCTGCGGTGAGCCTGCTTTTTGTATTCATTTATTAAAAATATTTATTAATTTATTTTAGAGAGAAAGTGTGCGTGAGTGTCAGTGGGAGGAGGGGCAGAGAGAGGGAATCCCAAGCAGACTTCCGGCTGAGCGTGGAGCCTGACACGGGGCTCGGTCAATGCCATGACCCATGAGATCGCGACCTGAGCAGAAATCACAAGTCGGATGGTGACCACCCCAGCCAGCCAGGCACCCCGAGTCTGCCTTTTCAACAGAGCTTGTGTATTAGTATACACATTTATGGGGTCGTGCATTTCGTTGGCAAGAAGCGCTGTTTGGAGGATTAGAAGAGAACCAGGATGTGGAGGTGCTTTGTGGTGAGAGTTGCCTTTCTGGAAGGCGAGTTGTCTTTCCCGTGCACGAGAGGAGCTGTGTTTGAGGCTCTTTCTGCAAAGTGCGGCTCTTTCTGGAAGGGCCACTACTCGGCCCCCAGTTTCCCCGTCTTACAGACTTGTGTTTTGCTATTTTGGTGTGTGTGTGCACACCCTTCTGGTATTTCTGTAGGTCGAGTCCTTGAAGTGACGGTCCCGTCTCCGGCGTGAGCTGTGGTTTGCTGGGCTTTCTGCGTTGGCCGCGGCTGACAGGGACGTGGGAGTCGGGCTGGTGGACGGTGCCGCTGGTCTCTCCCCCGACGTGGTCCCGTTGGTGGCTGAGGGTTTTCGGCTTTGGCGTGACTGATGGTGACCACCCTTTCCTTCCATTTGCAGGGCGTCCTGGACCGCTTTTCTCAAATCCAGCCGAAGCTCATCTTCTCCGTGGAGGCCGTCGTGTACAACGGCAAAGAGTACAGCCACATGGACAAGTTGCAGCAGGTGGTGAAAGGTGGGTGGCCCTCCCACATCTCCGCTAGCAAGGCAGGGCTCAGGGTGCACCAATAAGAGGTCCCCGGGGCTCCGCGTCGGCCGTCCCTCAGTTGTGTTACACTCTGTGAGAAATACCGCTGCCCGTATGCCGTGGCCTATAAGCCCGTGTTCCCCCTCTCCTCCCTCCAGGACTTCCGGACTTGAAGAAGGTGGTGCTGATTCCTTACGTTGCCTCGAAAGAGAAGATAGACATTTCCAAGATTCCAAATAGGTAAGTCCACCATGTGCCGATCGCTGGTTCCGGGCAGAACCCTCCGGAAGTCCCAGTGGGTTGTCCAGTCTGTGAATCCTTTCACGGGGGGCGTAGCAGTTTAGAGGTACAGGAGGTTTTGGTTAAAAATCACAGTTTGTACGTGGGCACCCGAGGCCACACAGTGACTTCGCGGTGGAATGGAGAGAGCCCCAGGGGTCCTCCGTCTTTCCCTCTGCTGTGACTTGAAGTGTCCGGTCAAGGCCAGCTCCCGATGGAATGGAAATTGCCGTGTGTGTGTGTGTGTGTGTGTGCGCGCGCGTGCACGCGCACATGTGCATGCGTGTGTACATGTAAACACACGCTTGTGTGTATATGTTTCCCTTGTAGGACCTTTGTCCCTATTGTTAATAGCACCTTCCTCTGTTTTTCTGACATTTATAAGCTGATGCATCACACACTTATGTACCTAATAGTATTGGAGGCAGTTTATTTTGGAAGAGGATTTCAGGAATTGGGTTGTGGTTTGGTCACAGTTGAGTTTGCTTCCAGATTCTTGGAGTTATACTCCCTTCCCCTTCCTTGAAACCATCATGGGGGGTTCCGAGGTCAGGTGTGTTTACTCCCTCTTGCCCTGTCGGGGGGACAGGGAGGAGATCACAAGGGTCTTTTTGGGGGGCAGACAACCGACGTGTGGCTTGGGTTTTGTGCAGGCTGCTTTCTGGGGGTGCTGAGGGGGGACCTCTAGGTGCTATGCTCCGGGGGTTGTGGTTGTTGGGAGGCACGAGCCACACCTGCAGGGAGGGTGAGCCGTGACCACTGGGCCCAGTAGACAGGGGCAGGAGGTGGACAGGAGGTACCTAGGGGCTGAGAGCAGGGCACAGGTCTGGGGGAGGTGACACTGAAGGTGACCTTGACAGATGAGCAGGGTTTGGGGACAGGTGCCGGTACTTGGATTCCGGAGGCCACAGGGTGCTGCCAGCAAAGTGACTCTTCCGTGAGGGCGGTGGTCTCAGCTCTGTGACCCTGTGTGAGGGATCCACCTGTCTGTGCCTGGGGTCCCCATCTGTAAAATGGGGAGATAACAGCACTTTCTTCAGTAAGTGGACACCAGGCCAAGTGCACTTAGCATAGCCCCTGGCAGTCATGATGGGTTGGGGACAGCCGCAGGCTGAGGTGCGCTCTGTCCCACGGGTACCTGCGTCAGGATGTGCAGGGCCTTACGGGCAGGCTCGGCACTTGGGTTGTCCCTGAGACTGGGGGTGTCCTGCCAACTGTGATGAATGACAGCCAGATGACGATCCCCGGTCCCAGTTCCCACCACGCACACAGCTGCCCTGCCTTTCTGTCGGGGGTCAGAACGCAGAGGCTGGGAGGAAGACCAGACGGGCTCACTGGTCCTACTGTGGCTCAGCTTTTATCCTTCTGAATGTGTTGATCAGCGGCTGATAATGAACGAGAGTATCCCGTAAAATCCCGTAGCATCCTGTAGAATCCCGTGAGCCACTTCATTTAGCTTGATACGATGTGAGAAGCTCTTGCCGTCCCACCTGGGGGATGGGACCCCCGTCTGGCTCATCTTTGATTGCTGGATGCCGCAGATAAACTAAGAACAAGAACGTGCCCGGGTTCAGAGACCTGGGGTTGCGGGGGGGACCGCCCTTTGGGATTTTCATTTTTAGAACAGCAACAAAAGTAATTGCTCTTTACTGTGATTTATAGACCCTTTGGAAGAAAAGGTTTTTCTCTGTGTGAAGTATCCGATTAGATTGGACACTTCGTGTAACTGGGGTCCGAAGGGGAGGTGGCGGTGGAATGGGCCTTCCGTTGCTGGAACGTTCCACAGTGAATAGTTTTCCTGACACTCTAGAGCAGAAGGCTTTGTTGTTTACTGCTCAGAGCTGAATTATTCTGCAGGCCCTTTTTAACCCTCTGCGCCTCCCCCACAAGACAGCCTCGTCCTTAAGGATGTCTTCCCTTGCAAGATAGCACGGTTCTTCCCTCTTGTGTGTATGCATTTGGTTCCGGAGTAATTATCCTTAGCAAATTGCTGCAGCCTGAGTTCTACGGATTCTCCCCCTTCTGGAAAGAAGGTTCCATTTGTCAAAATGGCAGGGTTTTTTTTTTTTCCTCCCCCCCCCCCCCCGCCCCTTTCAAGCCAGCGGAGAGAATAGTGCCAGAGTCCGTGTTCCTGCTCATCTCAACATGGAGAAAACACCTCTCCCACGTGGCCCTTTGGCTTCAGAGGCCCTGTTTCTGTTCATCAGACAAACCTGTTCCTTCTCTGCTGGTTTTTGGCCACCCGCGTTGATGCCCTATGTCAGCTTTGGGGGTGGATGTCTTAGGTGGTAGTCAGCGGCCGGACTTAATTTTGTTTCTAGGAAGTATATTAAACAGGATGAAAATGAAAATTCAAAGCACCAATATCTGTATGATGCTGTTAAGTCAATACTTAGAAGAAATTTTAGGTGTGAGAAAAGAAAAAGATGTTAAGTCAGTGACTTAAACAAAGCCATCTTAATAAACTAGAAAGGAAGAGCGAGTAAGATCCAAAGTAGTACACTGCACGAAGATAGTTTCCCTCTTAGAAGAGGGAAGATGCCTTACTTTGAAGCCTCCCAGCTCCTTACATTCCAGAACACTCACTTTCTCTCAATGACTCTGAGACTGTCGCAGAATTGCTAGAACTAGCCTCGAGCAGGCAAGAGCCCGGTTTGGGGCTTGGTTTCATCTCCTGCGGGACAGATATCTGTACTGAGCTGCTGTCCTCCTCGGGACACGTGACACATTTGCCTAGAAGCATCTCTGTCATGGGATCTGGTCTTCAGATCTTGGCCCCACTGTGCCACCCCGACCTTCCCGTGGAGGAGCTCAGGGATCTGGTCCTTCCCTTCCCGCCCTGCTCCTCGCAGCGACCAGCACAGCTTTCTTCCCCCGAGTTTGCCTGCAAATGGGACGTGTTCATTGTATGTGATCCTTGGGCACAGTGCGTGTCAAAGCCCTCCAGAGAGTCTCAGAAGAGACAGCCCTTGGTCTTGTCAGCATGCTAATAAAGAAGCTTGGAATTTTCACTCATTCGGTGCATTTCCCTTCAGTTAGCGTGAGTGCGAATTCATAGAGATCTGACTTTTTCCCCTCTCTCCCAGAGAGCTGCCAAACAAGGTTAGTTTTCCCTGGAAATCCTACAAGGCAGCAGTAGAGGGCAGTGAGCAGCCACGTCTAGCCTGGGAAGCCTCGGCAGATGCAACCCAGCCTTCTGGAATGTTCACTGTCTGTCTCTGTGTGTTCTGCCCCCAGCGTGTTCCTGGATGATTTTCTTGCCCCTGGGAAAGGTGCGCAGGCCCCGCAGCTGGAGTTCGAGCAGCTGCCCTTCAGCCACCCCCTCTTCATCATGTTCTCGTCGGGCACAACCGGGGCGCCCAAGTGCATGGTGCATTCCGCTGGGGTACGTCTCTCCACCCTCTGTCTGCTCCCCTGGGGACTCCTGGCTGGCGAAAACAGCCGTCTGGGCATGCACTCCAGACCCCCACCCGGCCAGCCTGCACCCCCTCCCCAGAGACTCCATCGTGCAGCTCCTCTGCAGGTGTGGTGGGGGAGCGTGGAGGTCTGAGACTGAGCTCGGGCACTCGGAGCTGCTGTTCCAGGCGCTGCTGTGGTGCCTGTCACCGCCGGGATGGGGGTGGAGGCCCCGGGGTGAGCCCCTGACTTCCACAGTGCGGCCAGGACCCCATAGGTGCTTATGAACGCGGTGGGGGGGTGCCCTCCAGCCTTGCATGAAGAAGGCAGTGGAGCCGGGAGAGCAGCAGCCGTGAGCACCTCGAGGGTTGGGAGAGGTGCCGTGTTGTTGCATGAGGTCATCGTGTTAGAGGCGTGGATGCATGTGCGCTCTATGGCGTGGTCAGACAGAGCTACCCGTGGGCTGGGATCAAAACCCTGGAGAGCCTCCTGGTCACGGTATAAAGTGCCAGCAGCTGAGAGAAGCTTACGGGCCACAGTCGTTGGCTCTGGCTGCTGTCACTGAGCACCCCGGGCCGCGGCATGGACGCCACACGCCTCTCATGGTTACTGGGCTGGAAGTCTGAGGCTGGGGAGGCCAGGGTTGGGTTCCGCTGAGGGCTCGCGCCTTGGCTTGTGGACAGCCGCCTTCTGCCCGTGCCCTCACCTCGTCTTCCCTCCATGCGCATGCTTGGGCTCGTGTGTTTTGTCCCATTTCCCTTTTCCCATAAGGACATCAGTCAGATTAGATTAGGACCCACCTTCTGGGCTCCTTGACTTTGTCACCTCTTTTAACGAGGCCACATTCCAAGGTCCTGGGCCTCGGGCTCAGCGTACAACTTCAGGGACCCTCAGTTCAGCCCACAGCACACAGTCCTTGTTTCCCTGCGTATTTCATCAGGAGGCCAGCTTTACAGAGGCCCCTGAAATAATGCTTTGCTACTAAGCCTGAGATTCTGTCCCCGTCAATCAGTGAAGTGAACCTTTTATGCTTGAAACAGCCGCGAGCCTGTAGGGAAGCTGCAGGAAGAGCTCGGTGGGCTCACGGTGCGGCTGCCGGACTCCGCCAGCCTCTGTGCGCTCGGCATCTGCTCCTAGCGCTTTCTGAAAGCTGCTTCTGTGTGGTCGCTGTCTCTGTGTGCGAGCACACACACACGACACACACAGACACAGACATAGACACAGACATACAGACACAAATAGACACACACATAGACACACAGACACACAGATATAGACACCTACAGACAGAGACATAGACACACATACAGACACATACAGACACACGGATACACAGTGGACACACAGGCACACATGGACACACAGACACAGACATAGGCGCACAGGCACCCACATAGACATACATAGGCACACATACAGTTACACACACAGGTGCACACACAGACATACAGACACACACACACAGACACACATACACACGTTTGCTTTTTGCCGCCCCCCACCTGGACCATGAGTTGCAGGGTCCGGCCGTTCACCCTGAGTCCTTGAGCACGCGTCTCCTGGCCACAAGCACGCTCCTGCACAGAGCCCTCGTCGGGTCGCTGTGTTCACGAAGTCGGGCATCCGTAGGATGCTGTCATGTGACGTGTAGCCCCGTCCACGTGCTCTGCTCCCTCTGGGGCCCGCGCTCCGGAGCGGCCCTCAGCCTGCCTTCCCCCGTCAGGACACCTGTGTCCTGGGGGTGCAGCTGCTGGTCTTGTGGCGGCAGGTGCCTCCCACTGCTTAGGGCTGGGCGTCGCCTCCTGGAAGCCGTGATGTGTCTTTCTCCGTATGTCATTCAGGAGGCGCTGCTGTCTGCGCACTGCGTCCTTGGCGTCTAACCAGGTCATCTTCGGAGGTACCATTCCTGGTGCGTTTGGTGCTTTTCTACGACCGTGCCCCCTCCTGGCCTCCTCCTGTCGGCCTACACCGCTCCTGGCCTTGACGGGGAAGCTTCTTTCTGACTCAGGCAGAGTCCCCCCCGGAGCTCCGATGTCTCCTGGGCCGGCCTCGGGAGCCAGCCCCCTCCCCGGGCTCTGCGCCCCCCAGCACTCCTTCCAAATGCCTTGGCTTCTGGCCTGGCCGCTCTGCAGCTCTCTCCAGACCTGCTTTCCCACTTCTCCCTCAGGTAGCTTAGCCTGGAGGGAGGAGAAAAACCCGCAGGCTCTGGGTCACACCTGGTCATAGCCTTCTCTCCTGCTCGGAAGAAGGGGATTATCCGAGAGGAGAAAGCTGTTCACAGACGGCTTTCTGGCTGTTGCTGGAGATGATGGTGGCATTTGAAAATCAAATATGATGTTTCTCTTATTCTAGTTGACTTAGCTTTTACAGATGTTCCCTCTGCCTAGAAGCAGTCTGAATCCCTTCCATAAAAAGGGGACATTTACATTTGAATCATTTTAAAGCCTTACACAGCTTTTCCCAGAGCACTTCCATCAGAATGGGGAAAGGAGTCGGCACGGTTCCCTTATTACCTGGCTCTGGATTCGCTGCGGGTCTGATCCCAGGTGACACAGAGCTGCCAGATACACCAGGAGCCGGTGGGGGACTTCTCAGGAAGCCACAGGGCAGGAGGGAGGGGGATGTCGGGGCGAAGCCCTTACGTCTGCCCGTAACACTGGCCAGGCTGAGGCGAGTTGCCCTTTTGCAGGAGTGAGTTGACCTTGTTCAAACCATCCCGTTTTATGAAATCACGTTGGGTGTGTTCAGAGTCCAAGATGTCATTTGCTATGGTGGCTGGAATCACATTTTCCCCAGGGAGGGGAGCTCTGGTCCGCCCGGTCACAGGCCCGTTAACGAGCTATAGAGAGGAGCGTTTTTAGAAACCTTGTAGACAAGGGTGGGATATGTGTGGCAAAACAACAGACATTTTAGGAAAAAACTGAAATGTCTAACTACACTTTTATTTTTAGTGCTTTTTGCAGAGCGAATGTCACTTTTTTAGGCAAGGAACATAAAAATGTATTAGATATAATGTGGCTTGCTCATAAAATCATCATGCTTGGTATATTTGGAGTATGGAAAAGTCAGGAAAAATCATATTTATTCTGTCTTCTCTGTGCTCTTGCCTCTCCAGAGAAGTGACTAAGCATCTTGCCTGTTCTGTTCAAGAGTTCCCTCGACAGGAACCTTGGAGACAGTGGGATGGAGGGCCACAGCGGGGACAGAGGGCTGGCCCCCGGCTTTACTGGGGCTGCTGTTCCTCGTTTGCAGGCTTGTGTTTTCCGAGTCGACAAGAGGTCTCAGGTCTCAGAAAGCAGCTTCCCTCTTCTTTCTATGAAATTAAATTCCTCTTTTTGCTTGAGATGCACAAAGTCACATTGCTCATACTTCCTTCCCCTCAGACTCAGCCATAAATACTTAAAAATTAAGAGCAAAACTACCGCTGTGAATCACAGTTCATTCAGAGACTCTTGAGAGAGAAGCCAAGCCTGGCTTGTTTTGTGCCTCCTGAGAGGAGGAGGAGAAGGCGCAGGCGAACAGATGTAGGGTTATAAATAGGCCAGGCTCGAAGCAGACCGCACCGATGAAGAAACAAGTCTAAACTGAATGACGATTTTAAGTAAGAATCCGGGAGGGGGCTTTGCTGCGGGCTCCTGTCGTCAGGGAGCCCCTGGCCCTGTCTGTGGATGTGGCGTGTGGATGTTTCATGTTCACTCAAGGAGTTCCTGAAGTCATTGTCCCCAAGCAGGTGCCCCTGCCCCCCCTGCACTCTGAGGCAGAGTGCTGTGTTGTGCGACTTCGCTGTGTTGTGTGACCCGCTCAGGGGGTCCAGGGGAGCTGTTCCCGACCCCTCTGATGCATGCTCCATAAAGCCACCAGAGATCTGGCGTCTGCATGTGCCTTGGGGACCTTCAGAAAGGTCCTGCATGCCCCCCCGAAGCCTCTGTCTGCCCGGCCCCCAAGTGGCTGTGGTCCCTGCTGCTCCTCGCGGGCCTGGTGGTGGCCTCTGTCCTGGACGTGCTCTGGAGTAGGAGCTCTGGCTCTTGAGTTGGAGACTTCGTTGGGTAGGGTTGTTTCCACTGAGCTTTCAAAGGGATCCTCTGCCTTTCAAGCCTTGCTGGCTTGTTTTCATTTCCCTTGGGTACAAAGAGAATCAGTTGTAAAGGCTGCTTGTGATACGTGGGTCCTTGCTTCATCCATCCATGTGATATGTGGGTCCTTCATCCATCCATGATAGGCCCTAAACAAGGGGACCTGTTGCCACCAGCCAGGTGCTCCCATCTGTGGAAGTGTGGCAGCCGGCCCTGTGCAGGGGCCTGTGAGGGGCAGTGCCTCGTGTAGCCTCAGGATCCTGCATGAGATCCACACACAGATGGGAGCACCAAGGCCAGGGGATGCTAAGTGTCTGGCGTGGGGCCCCTTGCTGTGCCCTCCAGACAGTGCTTGGAGGTGGGGTGCTCCCTCCCCGCTGGGAGCTGCAGACAGGACGAGTTCAACAGGAGGGGTGTGGGTGGTGGAGTATTACAGAGCTGAAAATAAAACACGAGGGCGCTCTCAGGGCCAGATAGAGAGCTCCGAGGTGTGGTGTGCGGAGAAGGCAAAGTGCAGGCCATGTGTGCAGGTAAAGAAGCCAGCATAAATAAATCCAGGCTGAGAGGCCAGGAGTTTACATGGAAACACACAGGAGGTGGTTGCACGGCCGCTGGAGAATTGGGGGCAGGCAGGGGCCTCATCGCGCTGTCCGCTCTGGAGCACTGGGCGTGTGCACACCTGCTGTATAGAAACAGTGGATGGTGCTGGGGGTTGGGGTCTACCCGGACGTTTGGGCTCAAAGCAGGGTATCGTGCTGCGAGGCTTGCAGAGCCCGTGGTGGCGTGGTGGCCGCGGCTCCACCGGGCTGTCCCATCCCTGCGCTGCAGGGTTCTTGTGCTGTGCTCCCGTCCTTCTGCCCCGGCCTTGACTTTGCCTCCCCGCTCCCCTCTGCCTGGGGTTAGGGTCCCACACTGTTCCAGATGTCCGTGGTAGCTGGAGCTCGAGGCTGGCTGGAGCCGGTTGGAGGCTGCTTCCCGGGTGCTCGCGGACTCTCAGGTCAGGACGCAGGGCACCCTGGGAGTCCTGCTTATCCACTCTAACGTGCTCGGTATTTGGCTTCCTCCAGGAAAGGAAAGGGAGGCTGGCTTCTTCCCCAGGGCTTTGTGTCTGGGCCGTGTTTGCTCACGCTGCTCTCCCGCCTCTCCCCAGGGCACCCTTATCCAGCACCTAAAGGAACATGTCCTTCATGGCAACACGGGCAGCGGCGACATCTTGCTGTATTACACCACGGTAAGCGGGCTTCGGAGGTTGCCGGGAGCCAGGGGACTGAGCTTTGGTCCCTTCAGGGCCTGTGCGATTCGGTCAGGGGTGTGGTGAGGGGGCATTCTCTTGCGTTAGCAAGGTGGGCCTGATGGGAGCACACGGGTCCTTGGATGAGGAAAGTGGGAGGGTCAGCCTCGGAGATGGAGATGGGGTGAGGGTCAGAGTGGTGCGGGGTCGCAAGCCAGAGGATATGAGTGACTTTTTGAAGTTGGGAAAGACAAGGAGCTTCCAGAAGGAGCACAGTCCTGCCGATACCTTGATTATGGACTTCTACCTCCAGAACGCTCACGTAATGAATTTGTGGTGTTTTGGGCCACTAAGTTTGTGGCAGTTTGTTGGAGTGGAAATAGGAAATGTATACAGATGGCGCTTCCAATTACTGTGACAGCAGGGGGTCCAGGTGTGGAGGCCAGGTTGGGCCTGAGTCTATCCTGGGGACCAGGGCTGCTCCCCATTGCAGGACCGGCCTAGGGGGCCCCCTGTCCCTGCCATGGGCATGGGCATGCAGCTCAGGCTGCCCTCACGCCAAGTGTGTGCCTGCTCTTGTTGGTGCCGTCCTCCCAGAAGGAGACCGCCCCCTGCCCAGACTTAATTGTGTTTCTTTTAGAGAGAGAGAGAGAGAGAGAACGCAGGAGCAAGAGCATGCAAACGGGGAGGGGCAGCGGGAGAGGGACAAACAGACTCCCCACTGAGCAGAGAGCCTGGTGTGGGGCTCGATCCTACAACCCTGAGATCACCACCTGAGCTGAAATCAAGCGTTGGAAGCTCAACTTACAACACTACCCGGCCACCCTCCTCACAGAAGGAGTTCTGTTCTGCCCCTAATCCTTGCCGGGCTACCTGGTGGCTGAGCCCAGGTACCCGGCTGGTCTGCCGAGCCACCTCCCTTCTCCCTGAGGTGTTTCACTAGAATCCTGGAAAGACTGCGGCTTTCGCTGAGCAAGGAGGGGGGCCCAGGAGCCAAGGGAAAGGAGATAGTACAGCCTAAGCCAGTGTTGTCTGGGTCAGACGTCCCTGGGACGTGGGGTGGATGGGGGCCTGCCTCTAGCACATTCTCCTGGTCTCGTGTGGGATACGCATCATTAAACCAAAGCTCGGGTTCGAGCAGCTGGGGACACTCCTGTCCTTGTGAACTCTGTGTGATGAACACGTCAGACAAGTTAAAGGAAACAGTGTTTTATCCTATGAGACGAAAACTTGAAGTTGACTTTTTCCAACTGCAAACATCAAGAGGTTTCAGAGTGAGTTAGCTCTGTTCCTTCGATGACAATTCTGTGCTGAGTTTTTTTTTTTTTTAAGATTTTATTTATTTATTCGAAAGACAGAGATCACAAGTAGGCAGAGAGGCAGGCAGAGAGAGAGAGGGGGTAGCAGGCTCCCCGCTGAGCAGAGAGTCTGATGTGGGGCTCGATCCCAGGACCCTGAGATCATGATCTGAGCTGAAGGCAGAGGCTTAACCCACTGAACCACCCAGGGGCCCTCCGTGCTGAGTTTTTAGGGAAGCGGAATGTTGGAAGTGTGCTCCCGGCCCGTGAGGTTGATGGCCAGGGCCCTGGCTGTGCCCTTGGGGACAGAGCCTGGGACTCCACCCACTCCCGGGAGAGGGAGTCCGAGGGCACCCTGGGTATGTGGCTGTGCATGGGCTGCCTCATCGCTTGGCGTGTCTAGCTGAAAATCAAGGGCTTGGGCCCAGTGATTGGGGTCTCCCTCAGCTGCAGGGATGTAACCCAGATCCTCCTGCCCTCCCCACAGGCAGGCCAGTGGTGCTGGGCACTGGCAGGCTCTGGGGCCCTTTTCACACAGAAAGCCCATCAGCATTGATGGAGCGTCTTTTGAATTGTGGGGAGAACTGGCAGGTGCGACGATGTCAAACTCAGCTGCCTCCTGGGACTCACGGTTTAAAATGCCAGGGTTTTACATTGAGGGCAAGTACGTAATAAGAGCTTAGATATGGAGTGGTTGTCCCAGAGGCATTTCACTTTTCCCGAAGCATCCTGCCCAGGAGGGATGGGCAGGTAGCTTTTTCCGTGGGGCATGCTGGTGCCCACAGCCGTGGCTGGCAGTGGCTGTGGGGGTCCCCATGGCCGGAGCCAGGCCTACGCTGTGTCTCTTACTGACTGACTTTAAAAACTTCCTCGGATAGTGAGTTGGCCGGGCCACTGTGCTGCTTGGGCTGCCCCGCACTGGTTTCTTTTGTTAAGAATAATTCCTTATTGGGGTGCCTGGGTGGCTCAGTGGGTTAAAGCCTCTGCCTTCAGCTCAGGTCATGGTCTCAGGGTCCTGGGATCGAGCCCCGCATCAGGCTCTCTGCTCAGCGGGGAGCCTGCTTCTCCCCCTCTCTCTGCCTACCTCTCTGCCTACTTGTGAGCTCCATCTGTCAAAATAAATAAATAAAATCTTAAAAAAAAAAAAAGAATTCCTTAGTGAAAAACTCAATTGGGGATATTAAAAGCTTGTTAAGAGGAAGCTCAACGAACTTGAGATTTGGGGTGCCCGCAGTGCTGGTGTCATTGAGGGGAAGGACAGGCAGCTTCTCAGGGGCCTGCTGGGTTCTTGAGCCTGTCCCCCAGGCCGTCGGTGGCCTGCTCGCTGAGGCTCTGTGCTGGTTGTCTCTTAAGTGCCCTCGTCAGCGGTTCTTAGCCGCTTGGGGTGCCTTCCGTGGCCCCCGGTCCCCGCTGTGGGATCTGCGCACGGGCATGGGAGAGGAGGGCGGGCTTCCTGGCCTCCCTGCCGGAGACTCCTGTTGGAGCTTTCCTCCTGCTCCTGGCTCCCTCGCTGTGTTGGTTCAGCTCTGGAAACGCCCACAAGTTCCCCTGCATGGATGGGAACGCTGTGGCCAGTTCTTTCTGCCCTAAAATGTTTTCTTAAATAACAACAACAAAGGAGGCCTCACTTGTGTATGGGAAACATTTCACATGGCACACGTGTGTGTGTGGTGAGCTGTCAGTGCCCTCCCGGGGCAGGGGCACCGAGTGGGTCTTGCTCACACATGCGGTCTACGTGTTCCCCGTGGCCCGTGGCCCATGTGGAGGCCTGCCCGGGGCTCCAGCTGTGGGTGTGGGTACGCTGCAGCCCCCATGCTGGCTTGTTCGACACAGAAGCTCGTCTCAGAGACTGGTCCCCGTCACTGCAGGCCGCATTCCTGTGGACGGCCGGGGTGGGCTGGCTCCTGAAAGCTTGCCACGTGCTGTTCCAAACGTCTGATGCGGCCTCACGGGTTTGGCCTGTGGCGTTCCACAGCACGTGTGCATGTGTGGGACCCCTTTCCTTGGGGCGGGACTACATCTCCTGGCTCTCTGGCTCCCATTGTCCCCAGCGAGGCTGCGGGAAACACCCTTTGACCCGTCTTAACGTGTGTGTGTGGGTCCATATGAGACACTCTAGGCGTGGAGCTGCTGGTGCAAGCGTTGTCCATCGGGGGTGGGTGTCCTTGCGGACCGCTGGCTCGGTGTCGGGACATGAGACGCTGAGGGACAGAGGTGAGGGCACCTGGCCTGGCGCTCGGTTGACACTGTGTTCCTTTTGACTGTCCCAGGTTGGCTGGATGATGTGGAACTGGATGGTGTCGGCTCTTGCCACGGGGGCGGCTGTGGTCTTGTACGACGGCTCCCCGCTGGTGCCCACGCCCAACGTGCTCTGGGACCTGGTTGACAGGATAGGGTAGGTGCCAGGACACCATGCTCGCCATAGAGCCACACTGCTATTGACTGCCGTAGCGCTGGTGCCATCTTGGGAGTGCTTGGCCTCTCGGTGGGCATGGAGGGCGAGGGAGGGCGCGGGAGGGTGAGGGAGGCTGTGGGAGGGTGAGGGAGGCCGTGGGAGGGTGAGGGAGGCCGTGGGAGGGTGAGAGAGGGCGTGGGAGGGTGTGGGAGGGCGAGGGGGGTTGAAGTTGCCAAGGAGGGTAGGAAGAGGCAGGTAGCCCTGACGGGGACCGACCAAGGAGATGGGGGCCACCCCCAGGGCCAGGAGTGAGTTTGAAATTTCGGGGAATCAGGAGAGGGAATGTGATCTTGTGTCTGTAACTCTGGAACCTAAGAGCTGCTGGAAAAGCCCAGGAGAAAGGGAGCCAGGGCCAGCGAGGGTTCTGCCTCTTGCCGGGCTCCCCCAGCTCCAGGGTGGGTTGGGGGGTAAAACAGGCTGTTCAGGGATGGTGTGGATATGCCTGTGAAGGGCAGGGGCAGAGCCCAGCACTGGGGCATTCCCAGGGTCTGGGTTTCCCACTGCTGGCCTTCCGAGACCCGTGGCAAGAGGACAGTCCTGCCTTTGTCAGCTGTCCCCTGGAGTCTCCTTGGACCCGTCACAAGGTTGCTCCAAAATGCTCCTATAGATGCTGCAGGAGGGCCTCTGTGCCTCCAGGCCATCCTGCTGATGGCTAGTTTCTCGGTCAGGTGACAAGCTGGGATCCTAGGGAGCAGGGGCAGAGCGTGGGGAAGGAGGCTGGGCCCTCCCTCCCTCTCCCGGTTCCCCTCCTCATCATCACTGGGGACAGTGTCAAGGGACCATTCTGGGAATGCTCTCTCTGTGGATGAATTCATCAGAACCAGTGGAAGCATCCGCCCCCTTGCGGCCCGTGGTCACTGTTGGCCTAATGATCGTGGCTCCAGGAGCACAAGCACGGAAGCCGCAGAGCTCCGGGAGCCTGGAAGCCCCCGTGCTCTGAAACGCGCACCTCACTCTCAGTTTGAGTCTGTTCACGGTGAGGAGACAGAAGGAGCCACTAATGTTTTTAAATTCGTGGTCATTAATATTTCAAATATAACTTTGCGCGGCCTGGGTAATATTTAAATTCTGACATTTGGCTCAAAATATTGGCAAGGAAGGTTATTTCCTAATGAGACTGTTTCCAGCAAAAGGTTAATCAAATCCCTGGGAACTTAGATGACTTTAAGAGCTTTACCCTTAATACCCGGGAGCTGGGCTCCAGGTGGGGACGCTTTCTGGGGTGTGTCTGTGTGTGTCTGTGTGCATATAATAGGAAGACCGATAGATAATGTGCATTATTGGGGCTCAGTGCTAATGAATTTAAAGGATGAAGGGCCCCAGCACAACCCAGCTCTGTGTGTGTGTGTGTGTATGCGCGTGCACACATTTGTGCATGTGTTTGCATGTGTACACAGGTGTGCAGAGTGTGTGCAAGTGTGGGCAAGAGTATATGTGTCTGCATGTGTGGGTGTGTGCAGAGGTGTGTGCGAGTACATCAAAGTGTGTGTGTGAATACGTGTGAGCAAGGTGTGGTTGTGGGTGCATGTAGGGATGGGTGCATGTATGTGTGTGGCTGAGCAGTCACAGATGTGTGGTCTGGGCCGATGTAGTAGGCATGTCCTAGGCATCTGCCTTCCAGCAGCCCTGCTGGCTCGTGCCCCAGATGCTGCCAGAGACGTGGCCTTGGCCATCAGAGGGCCCCTCTGGACCTGGCCGGGATCGTCCCTGCTCCGTTGCTGGAGGTTGGTGCAGGTCTGCGTTCAGGCGGGAGCCGGGGGTGGGGTGCTTGGGAGGACTGCGGGCCTTGAACACCTGCTCTGACTGCCAATGGCCATGGAGGGGTGCAGATCAGGTGTGGGGGGAGACCTTCATCTGACCTTCACTTGTGCGCGCCCTCCCCACTGAAAATTAAAACCAAGTTACATATGGTCACATAAGTTCCTACGTGTCGGTGGCAAGAGGAGCAGCTCTCCTAAGCTGGACAGCAGGGTCCTTGTGGGCCATTTCAGGGCTCCTGGGTTTTTTAAATAACCCAGGCTAATGTATGAATGAAATCTTGGATGATTTTAACGTGTTGGCCCAGAGACGTACTAACATGTCTGGTAACAGAACATTTATTTTGTAGATGCAAAATTCTTTTCTTTTCTTTTTTTTTTTTAAGATTTTATTTATTTATTTGGGAGAGAGAGAAACCACGAGAGAGGATATGAGTGGGGAGGAGAGGAAGCAGGCTTCTCACTGAGCAGGGAGCCCGATGGGGGGCTCCATCCCAGGACCCTGGGATCATGACCTGACCCGAAGGCAGACACCCAACTGACTGAGCTACCCAGGCATCCCGATGAGGTTCTTTTAAAAGACGGATTTTCTTTGTCGTTTGGGGTGTTTTTCTGGGCTCCGGGAGTCTGGCTTGGGGAATATTTGGGTTAGAGTTGGGGCCAGAGCTCTGGGGTCTTTTGTCCAGGCTTTTCTTGTACCCAGGCCAGCCATCTGAGTTCCCCTGTGTCACCTGTCTCTGGGTGGGAGAGGCCCCGGGGGCACACTGGCAGAGTGGACTTGCTGGACAGCTGTCCGCCAGGGTCACGCCCACACCCCGTCTGCTCTGCGCCATGTGCCCTGCTGGGCTCTGAGGCGTGCACAGCAGTGCAGTGGTGGAGGTGACTCGTCTCTGCCCTTGTGGGGCTGCATGCGAATGGGGGAAGGAGGAGAGAGAAAGAAGTGGTGTTGGTGCCCTGAGTTCCGGGATTCCCCTGGAGGCAAGGGCACTGGGGCCTAAACCTCAGGCCTGGGGAGGGGATGCAAAACACGCTCCAGGCAGAGGGGTGGTAAGTGCCCGGGCCCTAAGTTGGAGCTGGGATAGGTGTGTGAGGGAAGGAGACCCCTGTGCTGTGAATGTGAAGAGTGAATGTGGGGCCGGCCGGGGCGGTGGGGGTAGAGGCTGGTCCCTCGGGGACTCTGAGGCCGGCTTGGACGGTGGGGGCTTTTCTGCACGAAACGCGACACCCTTGAAACGTTTGGAGCAACACAGCCTGGGTTCGTGTTTGTGAAGGCAAAGTCTTGCTCCTGAGTGGAGAATGCATTGTAGGGGGTGGGGGAAGAGGGCAGTGGGAGACTGGTGGGTCTTAGGCAGATGGAGTTACCCAGGCACCAGGTGGGCGGCCTCAGAGGGGCTGTCTATGAGCCGCCCGTGGGGCACGGGGGGCGGCTCCTGTCCAGCTGGGAAGCCGCCTGGTACTTTGTGCAGATCCCCAGCCGTTATCCCTAAAAATACACAGCGCGGAGCACCCACACCAAGCTCCCTTGCTTTGTGGGCTCAGTGTGGTTTTACGCAGCTCCTGCAAGCCCTGGAGTCGGGTGGGGAGACCTTCCTGTTCTTGAGACATGCAGGCTTGTGACCCAGGTCCAGCACATGGTTGGAGTCTCCGTGCATTGCCAAGGTCAGGGTTCACAGGGATATGGGAAGAACCACAGAGAGCCATTGATTTCGGTGCGGGGGGGGCAAGGGGATGAGCAGCAAGGGGAATGTTGCTTTGGTGTGGCTGGGGTCCGAGATCCTGGCGCTGTGGCAGTCATTGCTCCGCCATCAGAGGCTGCAGGCGTGCCTGGTCTTCTGTGAAAATGTAGCCGTTCCTGAAGGGTGACACCTTAGTGCTCAGAGATGGTCTTGAGTTTGGGAATCATCCTGCCCGAGTTAATGCAGTAACCACGGGGGACGTGGGAGGGTTGTGTACACAGTCCTCCACGGCCTCCCCTCCTGAAGCAGCCACCTCTAGGGCACAGCAACCCGGGAGGTGCCTAAGGTCTCGGTGGGGGGCTTCCTGGCAGCCAGGTGCTGGTGGTGAAGAGGGGGGCTGGGAGGGACGAAGGACAGACAGCAGGCTCAAGGGCTCCTCCCAGCCCAGCTGCCCTGGTGCTGGACAGCATGTGGCTGTCCCCCACCCAGGGGTGGGGGGATTAGGTTTTGGCTGCCCAGAGGGATGCCAAGGGACTTTGATGTTTGCAGCCTCCTTTGGGCCTGGGAGGGAGGGCACTGTTTAGTTATGAAGCTGGTCTGCTGGTCCAGGGCTGCCTGGCTGCTGGAGCCATCAGGAGCGCTCGCCCCTGGAAACGCAGCGACTTCTTCTCCACGTGGCGTTGTTCTCTGAGTGCGGACGTGGAGCAAAGGACCGTAGACTCTGAACATTCGAAATGAGAAGAGCTGCACCATTTAAGAAGTCATTTAAGTCACTTAAGAACAGGGGGTGGGTCCCGAGCGCCCAGCACGGGCCCTGCTCCCACAGAAGGTCCCGCCGCTTCTGCACCTCGGCAGAAGGGGCTTGCATGGAGCTGGGACTTGAGGGGTCTCGGTTTCCTGGCTTCCTTTGCTCCCCAAAGGGCAAATACCCTGCAGTTGGGAGGAGGGTGGGCTGGTGTACGAGTCGCTGTCTGTCACATGGAGCCATGTGCTCCGGGGGCCGGGGCTCCGAGCATGTTGGGAGTCCGTGCACCGGCCTGTCCCTGCTGAACCCGCAGTCAACACATGTGTTTACTGAACACTAGGTATTAATTCAGCCCAGAAAAATATGTGTCTTGGATTTTGCAAACTTGCCAGAAGCGAGTCACTAATTTTAAAAAGCTCTGGAGCGTGGAATGTGCAAGAGCCTTGAGAGTTTCTGTTTTCTTTCCCTCCTGTGCCCTTAGCATCACCATCCTTGGAACGGGTGCCAAGTGGCTGGCCGTCCTTGAAGAGAAACAGTTGAAGCCAGGTCAGTGTGCCCCTCAGGACGCCTGGCCTCGTCCCCGTCCTGCCAACCAAGGAGTCCAGAGCCGCCCTCTTATCTGTTTCCTGCACGTGAGCCAGAACAGGGGTGTCGGGTCTCGTTTTAATCTCTCTGTGGTTCTTCCCCCTAGTGGAAACCCACAGTCTCCAGACACTTCACACGATCCTGTCCACTGGCTCCCCTCTGAAAGCCAAGAGCTATGACTACGTCTACAAGTGCATTAAGAGCAGCGTCCTCCTGGGCTCCATCTCAGGTAGGGCTTGCACCGTGGGGGGTCTGGGAGGAAGCAGGGGAAGTGGGGCACGACCAGGCTGGCCCCCTGTAAGCGTGCACGGCCTTGGACCTGACAGGTCCGCTACCTTGTATTTGTCCCAGGTAAACAGCAGGGTGCACATCTGTGCACGGTTGGTTCTTCTTGTTCATGATAGTTAAGTTCTAGGAAGTTACTGAGTTAGCGACTACGAAACCATTGGGGAAGGAACACACACACACACACACACACACACACACACATACACATCTCACATCAATTATGATCTTATATTCTGGAAACAACCCTTTTCTGGTAGGTTCTGTTGTCTTTATCTTATGGAAGAGAAAACGAGGTTTAGGAGTGTTAACGGACTTGTCGGAGCAGCCCCCCAATGGGTGCAGTGCAACTGGGTCCCGAGCCAGAGCCCCTTGTACCCCGTTCCCCCACCCGTGCTCTCTCCCGGTCTTCTCTGTCACAAGAGCTGAAGCCAGAGCAGGGCACTGCCTTGTGGTTCTGTGGCTGCAGACGTGCGTGTGGGGCGTCTCGAGATTTCCACTGCTTGGCTCGTGTTCTCCGATGACCTTGAGAGCACCCGGAGTGTTGCTCCTGAGGTCATCAGTTTTAGTGAGCAGAAGCATTTGAAAATACAGAATCTGTAAGTAATAAGGATTGGCCAAGTAATAAGTAATAAGAACAATTGTTGCAACGTCGTTTATGCTCGTTAAAAGCCAGAAGTTACCTTTGTGCCTGGTAGAAGGGAATTCGTTGAATAATGTATGGCGCATCCTGAATTTTTGCAGCTCTTAGGAGGGATATGGTGAATATTCTTATGTAGATGGAAACATATTCATTGATACCGAAAGAGGGTTGTGATACGTTGAGTGAGAGAAGCAGATTGCAGAGATATAAGTGTGGTCATTTTTGTAGATCGAGAGAAGGAATATGTGGTGGGGTGTGTACACCCGTGTGTGTGTGTGTGTGTGTGTGTGTGTGCGCGCGCGCACACGCTTGGGTATTGGGATTTCAAGTGACTTCTTTTTCTCTTCACTTTTTCCTAACGTGAAATTGTATGAAGACAACTTGTGCATGTTGCAAAATCTTCAGAATCCAAAAAAGAAACAGAGTGGTGTCCACCCCGAGTGGTTTCTCCTTCCCGCCACAGAAGCCTGCGCTCGTTTCCCCTCAGGGGTGTCCGTACGTAGGTGGGAGAGTGTGTCTGGACGGGGTGAGACTCATTTAACTTAGGATTCACGCTGTTCCGTATTTCCCCCTTAACAGCATGACTTGTAGTTAATTCTATCTTAGCTCATCAAAATCTTGAGAGGAATTTAATTTATATTTCTGAAAGCATATCTTTATTTATTTGTTTGTTTTTAAAAAGATTTTATTTATTCATTTGACAGAGAGAGTCACAGCGAGAGAGGGAACACAAGCAGGGGGAGTGGGAGAGGGAGACGCAGGCTCCTCGCTGAGCAGGGAGCCCGATGTGGGGCTCGATCCCAGGACCCTGGGATCATGACCTGAGCCAAAGGCAGAGGCTCAATGACTGAGCCACCCAGGGGCCCCCGAGAACACGTCTTTAAAAGCTACTGTGTGATTTGCTTGAAGCCCGAAGCTGCCCTGACAGGCCTCTGCGGGACCCGTGGCCCGAGGCTGGGGGACTTGAGCTGTTTAGGCGAGCAGGGCAGGCAAGGGTCCGGCCAGCATCTGTGAGTGGCCTTGAGACATCTCTTCTCCCTCTGGGCCTCAGTTTGCCTGCCTTAAAAGGGACGGATTGTGCAGTGTGACTCTAGGGGCCTGTCCATGCGACTGCTGCCCACCGAGTGGGTGGACATGCTGGGGCTCAGGCCACTTATCTAGTGGGGTCACTCTCCTCGTGACAGGTGACATGTTTAAATGTTTGCCGCCTGTGTGTCACTCTGTGAATGCCATGAAGTCTTGGAACATAGCAGCTCTCCTTTCCTGACACAAAACACTCTTCGAGATGCTCTGGGGGAAAGGCAGGAGTCGGGTGTATGCGGTGCCCCACGTGTGTGAGATGATCGTGTGTGGTGAGGGTCTCCAGCCAGGTGGAAGGGAGGCTCACATCCATTCCTCGGCCTCCCAGAGGGCATTATGTGCCCAGAGCGCTGCGGTGCAGAAGCTCTGGGAGGTGGCCTGCTGGCTGATCCAGTGCTTAGACCTGGGCGTGTTTCAGCCCCTCAGCCCGGGCTGGCGCCGCAGGCGTCCCAAGGTCACCCGAGAGCATCTCAGGCCTTCCTGGCACCCCAGCGTGCTTCCCGCCCGATGCGTTCTGTCTTCTGTGAGACCCGGCCTGCACAGACCCCTGGCGTGCGGCTCCTCCGGTTGCCGCAGAGGGCCTCTGTATGTGACGCATTTGCCCACGCGGTGCCGGTGAGGTTGGGCTCATGGGTGAAGCCTTCATGTCCCGTGAGCCCAAGTCTGGAATTTCACTGTGACCATGACAGGTCATTCGTTTTGTCTGTCATCCAGCAGGAAGGCTTGGTCAAAACATAAATCGTCCGGACACAGGCGTTTTGCTGAAATTTTAAATCCCCTCCCTCATGTCTCCCTGAAAAGAAGCACTAACCATTGTGCGTTTGGCAGTATCTACCGGGAGAAAGAGTAGAAGTACCTCTGGGGTCTTCCTCCCTTGGTGTTCGCCAGTAAAAAAAAAAGCTGTTCATCTCAGTCTTCTGAATTCTGCCTCTCCTTTCCCTTTGTTTGCAGGGGGCACCGACATCATCTCTTGCTTCATGGGCCAGAACTTTTCTGTTCCTGTCTCTAGAGGGGAAATTCAGGCCCGGAACCTGGGCATGGCCGTCGAAGCCTGGAACGAGGAAGGTGATGGCTTCACTAACTGCCTTTCTTTCTGTTTCTGGGGGGACTGGTAGCTCGGGAGCAATCGGATGTGTAACCTCCCCGAGAGGGGTAGCCCAGCTCACTGGCAGACTGGGCTCCTTCTAGCGGCCCGCCGGGCTCCCTGTCCCCAGCCCCCTTCAGCCTGCCCTCCTGAGAAGTCAGTGTCGGGCTGGAGCGGAGAGCTGTGTGTTCAGGAGCGGCAGGAGGGCTGTTGCACCCCCAGCATCCAAAGCCCAGAGATGCTGCTCAGGCAGCCACACTGCCCTGCTCCTGTGACCCCCTGACCTTGACATGGACCCGGTAGGGGAGCTGGGGTGTTGGCCTCTGACAATGTCAGGATGAGCTTTTGCTCTATAGCCTGTTGGTGGCCATTGATAAATGAGCAAAGCCTGTTTGTGTCTCTAGCACCAAACAGGGCCTAGCCTGGCGTGTGGTGTGTGCACTGTGCAAATTTGCCCTGCAGCCACCATTATTTTAGCCTGGCAGAGTGCATGGGGAGTCTGGGTGAGGAAGAGGGAGAGACGTCGGCCGTGGTGGCCCCACCAGGTTATGGGCTGGAAGCCTGGAGAGCACAGGAAGGATTTCTCCCTCTCCAGTTCATGGGAAATGTTTCCAGAGACCTTTCTGAAAATCGGTTCTTACTTTCAGAAGAGAGCTTTTCCTGGTGCTTGCTGAGCTTATCGGCCCCATATGTCTGTTTTCTTCCCCACCGTCTGAACCATTTCTTTTGGTCCTGGTCCCTGCTGCATTCTGTGGCCTGGTTGGGGGAGATGCTCCTGGCAGAGAGAAACTGACGGCCATCTCTGCAGCTTCCAGCTGTCTGTCTGTCGTCTCTCGGGGGCGGGGGGGGGGGGGGGGGGGGGGGAGGAGCTAGGTGAGGGGGAGGAAATGGGGAACCCCAGGAGCCCCCTTGGGTGCATGTGGAATGGTGACTTTTCAGTGCCAGTCCTGCGTTGCTGCGGTGTGGAAGGTGCTGGATAAAGGGACCCGCTCCTTGGGAGGGTTGCTGTGCTGCCCTCTCCTCGGCCTCCACGGCCTCTGCTGTGCCCAGGGCCGGAGACTGGGCGCCCTGCTGGAGCAAGTGGGACTCGGCGTGACTCAGTTAGCCTGCAGGTTGGGAGTAATGAAGGGAGGTAGGGACCGCGTGGTGCAGAAATTCTACTCCTGGGAGAAGCACTGGTGCATACGAGCGAGGAGAGGCGTGCGAGTGGGTTCGTCGCCACATGTTCGCAGTAGGGAACAGAGTCGGGAACATACAGAGCTCGTCCTCCGGAGGAATAAATGGCCACGATCGCATGTGGACAGTTACAAGCAGTGAAAACGAGTGGGCTTGAGCGGCATATAGTGGACGAGCGAGGCACCCCAAGCCCACACTGGGAGAGCCGAGCCGGGTGCGGGGCGCACAGAGCAGGAGGCCATGGGCACAGTTTGGAGACACGCGGGATGACTTTGCTGTTTGGAGACGTGTCTCGATGGCGTGAACGTATTAATACACGTGTGGGAAAAATCAGTTCCCTTTAGAAGAGAGGTTTAGGGGGGCGTGGGTCCGGAGGGAAGGTCGCTGGGGTCGGTCCCAAGTACATGGTGTAGGGGATGGGGAGCGTGTGCCAGGGTACGCGGCTGCTGCGTGTGCTCAGCTTAGTCTTTCCTTCCCGAAGCAGGAAAGGCAGTGTGGGGGGAGAGCGGCGAGCTGGTGTGCACCAAGCCGGTCCCCTGCCAGCCCACGCACTTCTGGAACGATGAGAACGGGAGCAAGTACAGGAAGGCCTATTTCTCCAGATTCCCAGGTAGGTCTGGTGGTGGGGGATGCGGAGGGAGCCGCCCACACTCCCTCTGGGCTGGGCCTTCCGGTCGGGTTCTGAGGTCTTCCCCGCCCACACCTGTGAAGCTGCTCACGGCTCCTTCCACCAGGGGGCGAGGCTGAATGGGGATCAGGATCTTGTCCCTTCTGCTTGGAGCCATCATGTGAAACTGGCGTCTGCTTAGCTTCTATTTCCTTACGGCTTATTTGTTTATTTGAGAGAGAAAGAGAGCACGTGAGCAGGGGGGTAGAGAGGGGCAGAGGGAGGAGGGGAGAGACTCTCAAGCAGACCCTTGCTGAGTGCGGAGGACCTGAGCGGAAACCAAGAGTCAGACGCTGACCTGGCTGAGCCCTGGTGGGGTTGCTTTCTGCTTAGCTGGCCTCTGTGTGCAGAGCCCCCGGGCTGCAGGTGCGGCTGCGGGGGGCCGGCACCAGCCCCAGTATGAGCCCCGGTTTGCCTGTGGGAGGGCTGTGGGCTGTGCGCTTACCCAGGACTGCCGGTTCAGACGGAAGCGGCGTGTTCAGGAGGAATCTGGCTTGGGCCTCCTCCTCTCCACCGGGCACGCACCCTCACCCAGTCCTCATGGAGGTGTTGGAGGAGGAGCACATTGGGGGTGGGGTGCTCCGCAGCCTGCTTGTCACTCTCACATAGACCGACACCCTCGTGTTTCATCTTCCAAGTGGCGCCTTGCCCCGGAGCAGGGAAGTGTTTATTTCAAGTTCTGACTCCCGTCTGCGTCTTTCCTTCGTTCATAAGCCACCTCGAGTTATCACAGCTGTCTGATTCACAGTTTAGTAAGTCCTCTGTCCCAGAGCGGTGTTCTCCAAGTGCGTGCTTGCTTCCGTCTCCAGAAAGGTAATTTGATTTTGTGGTAATGGCTCGTGGAGGACCAGGAGAGGGCAGGTGGCCGGCAGGAGCAGAACTCGCCGTGGACCCCTCCCGTTTCTCCCCCGGCCTTGAGTGTTTACACGTCCCATGTGAAAACCACTGTATCTGGCATCGCACCCCCACGCAGGCGTCGGAGGAGCGCCCCAGATGTGGCGTGGCCTCCTGGGTACCTGCCACACGTGAGCCCCACCTTGGATCCCGCTAGTGTGCAGCTGTCCAGGCGGAGTGAGGCAGCATAGAGGGAGCTAATGTAGAGAGAAACGTTCCTCAGGTGACCCTGAAGGAAAGGGCAGGACCTCCTGCCGTAGGAAGAGAGGCCAAGAGGAGCAGAACCTCAGTGGGAGGATCCATCCCTGTCTCCTGCAGTACAGCTCACTGCTCTTTGGAAACTGTGTTTCCTATAACTTATTGTATGTACAGTTAACATGATAAATGTCTCTCAGGATTGATTTCAAAGCCTTTCCTTCCCCTTCCTCCCTCCCTTCCTTCCTTCCTTCTTTTTTTGAACTTCCCTCTTGGAGAAAACAAGTATTTTGACCTGTTTTATTGCCATTTCCATTTTTGCCTTGGCTGCCAGGAAGCTCAGAGCGGAAATCATTGCTTGTTTCCAGCAGTCCTCTTACCCCCAGGGCAGGGTTTCTGATTCTCTTTAAAGAATCTCATTATGTAATCGGTTTTATAAGTAGTTTCCTCAGATACTTTCTGGGAGTAGGTGGGAGATCTGCGAACCAGTACGGAAAGAGGAAGGCAGTTAAGATAATGGAACTCTGGAGCCTTTGGTCATGGACCGGAGGAACACAGGTGGAACCTGACTGTCCAGGTTGTCCTGGGAGATTCTGACACTGTATTGGAGTTAGTGTTGAAGGAAACAGCTGGAGGCCAAGGTTGTCGTTCCTGGAGCAGCATGCAAACTCACAGACATCGTTAGACCAGGTGAAAACGTAAGCAGGCAGTGATATCCAAGGAATTAGTAAGCGAAAAGAAGTACGGCACAGAGGGTACAGTATCTCTTTGTGTAAACTTCTAAAAGGAAATATGTGTGTGTAAGTGTGTGAATAAATCCACAACAAAGGGTTATCTGTGTCGGGGGAATTATGAGCTATTTTGCTTTTCTTTATATCTTATCATTTTAAAAAATCTAGTAAAAATTTAAAGATTTTAAAAGCGGACTGAAGAAAGACTTAGACTGTTCTGATTCTACAAAGCAGTGATTTCAGCTCCAAGTTTCCTGGCAGCCAAGATAAAAAGGGAAATAAAATGGGTACGGATGGGTGCAGGGGACACATTTCCACTCGGGAGCCAAGCACACCCACCAACTGTTGGGACTTTGAACTTGGACATGGAGACAGCCAGAGGTTCCCTCAGCCCGCATCAGCAGAAGAGCTCAAAGTGGAAGGAGACTGAGTCATAACTCATGGAGCCCTCCGTCCTCCCATAAGAGAAGCGTGTGTGTGTGTGTGCAGTTTATTCATGATGGAGCATTTGCAGACGTGGACAGCCGTGCTGTTGTTCTCTCTATACAAGACACATGCTTACCTAGATTTCCTGCAGGAGGAAAGCAAGAGCAAGGCTGGGTCTCTCCCTTTGCACTGGCGTGCGGTCGCTGAAACAGGGTGGAAGGAGCCAGTGCTCTGCTGGCCCTGGGCACGGGAACCCGCAGGGAAGCCTGCATTCCTGCGCCATGATGACCCGGCAGCAGAGCCACCAGCCCCGTGAGAATCCTTCCTCCCGACTTCACGTTGTACGAGGCAGCAGTGCTGCATTTTGTTTTCACAAATGACAATTCCTTCAGGGTGCATTTGCATCTTCTGTTTTGTCTTCGTTTCCGGGGTCTCACATTCATGATCAAACTCCTGGGAGAGCTGGCTCCGCACGGCCCAGACTCTGTGTCGGTCGGCACCCGGTCCCCAGATGAGAAAGGACCCATGGAGGGGGCGGCCCTGCGGCTGCGTCCGCAGCCCTGTCCCCTGGGATGGCGTCTGGAAGCCCGGCGTTGGGCGTAGCTGTCGGATGTGCTTCTGCAGAAACCTGGCGTATCACTCGCAGTCCTGGGAATGATCTTTTCCTGTTTGTGTACCCGAGTCTTTCACGAGTCCCGTCAGGAGGAAGGGGGTTTCTCTCTTCAGCTAGGGGAGGAGGGGAGAGGGACCCGGAGGCTTACAGTTATTCTTTTGCGTCAGAAGAAAGGAGCTCAGGAGTCCCTCCGTTCCCTAACTGCCTCCCAAGGACCACCTCCCTGCAGACGGACAGACGTCCTGGCCTTCAGCTGGGTCTGCACCTGGGCGGGAGCCTCAGTCGCTGCTCGTGCAGTCTGGTCATGACTGTGAACGAGCGAGGGAATAAGTGCGATGTCTCGTCACGGGGGCGCCTCCCGGACAGGTGTGGGCGGATGGGGTTCGTGCCTCCAGGCGGGAAGCGTCTCCAGCATTGCGGGGGAGGAGGTCCTCTCTGTGAAGGCCCTGAAGGTGGTTTTATTTGATATTTTCCCTTTCTGGGCCGCAGGGACTCGGGCCCCATTTCAGGAGGCCAGACTGCCCCTGGGGAAGTGACTTCCAGGCAGCCACAGAGCTGGCGGGATGTGCGCCTGGTCATTCAAACCCGTTTGGCCTCCGATTGTGCGGCTGGTCAATGGTCATTGCCTTTGGCGGCAGGAGGAAGCTTCTGGCCGCTTTAATTGCTCCCTTGGCAATTCCGTTAAGGCATGACCTCTCTTTCCTGCTCCTGGAGGATGTGGCTGAGGCTGGGGCTATTAGCTTTGCTGTGTCTGGACGAGGCCTCCCTGGGAATGCTGCCAGGCCAGGCCTCGGCTGTCCGCCGGGCCACACGGGGTTGGCACAGGTGATCGGTTGCATGGTCACCTCTGATCCCTGCCCCTCCACCCCGTTCCTCTGCCTTCCGTGTCCCCCGCGTTTTACCAGCTAGGTAGCTCTGTGCACATGGCTCGTGCCTTACCTCGGGCCTCCGTTAGGAGCCTGCCTCTGGTCGTGCTGCTTCTGTCCCGTTCCGGGGTGGGTCCAGCCCCTCCAGACCTGCCCCCTCAGCTCTCCCAGACCACCCTGACTTCCTAAAGTGGCTTCTTGAGTCAGGCCTGCTCCCAAAGCTCCCACTGACCTTCCCCTGCCCCCTCTCGCACCCTCACTGCCAGGGCTGGTCCCAACCCTGTGAATTCCTGAGGCCCTTGTGGGTGCCCGAAGGAGTGACGTTCTCTTGCGTGCTGGTGCGTGTCAGAACTGGGTGCCCAGTGGCCCCTGCTAGACGCTGTGCTCCTGGGGGCAGGGATGGGCTAATCCACTTTTACCCCGGGCCCCAGCCCCGTTCTGTACCTATTTATGTGCCTTAGCCGTGTCTGTTTTGATGAACCTCCTGTTGCTGTCATGCCTGCCGTGGGCGTCTGTCCAGGCAGGACCCCTTCTCCGGGGTGACTGAGCCCCTCTGCCTCCCTGCAGGTGTCTGGGCGCACGGCGACTTCTGCAGAATCAACCCCAAGACGGGGGGCATCAGCATGCTGGGCCGGAGGTGAGGGGTCTTCGGACGGTTTCTCTTCCCAGGAGCCCCCTTTCCCAAAGCATCCAGGCAGGGACAGGGGGCATCCCGTGTCGGCTCCCTGGGGGCCGGGTCTGGGCCTGATCCACATTCCTGGGCCCCAGCATGGGGTAGCGGGTCTGTGGCAAAGGTGTGTCCGTCCTCGGTAGCAGCAGCCCTTCCAGAACAGCTGTACAGGTGGGAAGGGGCAGGGAGGTGACAGGTGTTTCCACACAAAGGGGACTCCCTTGTTGTCTGGCTTGGTGTTTAGAGAGAGAGGGGGACTGGTAGGGATAAGGAGCAAGAGGAGGGAACCTTCATGACAGGGCCCAGCGTTGCCGTGTGGAAAGGGGGTGATGCCTCCCTCCACCCCCGCCCCCGGGTGACATGCCTCACTCAGGAACTGCTGTGTGTTCATGACCTTGTCTCTTTCCAGCGATGGCACACTCAACCCCAACGGAGTGCGATTTGGCAGCTCAGAAATCTATAACATTGGTAAGTGTTTCACTTTCTCCTGAATTATTCTCGGGTCATCCAGGAAGGAAGGAGGGTTTGTCGTAGCGGGGAGCCCCAGAGCCCGCTTTCCAGAGAGCCCAGCCCGCCTTTTGGCGCTAACTCTGGTCTTTTTGCCTCAGTGGTGAGAATAGACATTTGTGAACGTGTCCTTTTTTCCAGAACATACCTTGTCCACACTGCTCATGGCCGCAAAGCCTTAGAGGCCCATTCCTGTTCCGTTACATTTTATCTTCACAGTGAGCAACCTTGGCTTGCTTAATTATGTCCTCTCCGTATGGGTGAAGGAGAAGCACAGAGAGGTTGTGATTGCTGGAGGTCCCACAGCGCCACTCAGGACACCATATAAAGACGGTGGGCCTTGCGGCCACTCAGTGCAATCAACCATGGGCCTTCAAAATGCTCCACGCAGGCCACGAAGTCAGCCTCCCTAGGAGGTGGTGTCCTACTGATGTCACGCCAAGATTGTCAGTGGAGCCAGGCCAGAGTCCTGCTCCTCCTGCCTTGAGCCTTTGTCCCTCCCCGCAGTGGGGTCCCCACCACAGGCACTTGCTTCCTGTTTATCTTTAAATCGGCGTGTAGTGGAGCCAGGGAGGCCTGCGTTTGGCTTCCTATAAACACGTTGACCACTGCAGTTCAAGCCACAGCTCTTGACTCCCCGCCAGAGACGGACACTCTCCTGCGTGCTCCCCTGGAGGGTCTCTTCCCGGGAGGGTGGGGGAGAGGCGGCCGTGCCCGTCAGGCCCGGGGGGCCAGCCTCCCCCTCCCTGCTGGCTGGCCGCAGCGGGCCGCTGTGAGCGCGTGTCCCCTTCCCCTGTGTCTGCAGTGGAGGCCTTCGAGGAGGTGGCGGACAGCCTCTGCGTCCCCCAGTACAACAAGGACGGGGAGGAGAGGGTGCTTCTCTTCCTGAAGATGGCTTCCGGCCACTCGTTCGGGCCCGAGCTGGTGAAAAGCATCTGTAACGCCATCCGCGTCGGCCTGTCTGCACGGCACGTGCCCAGCCTCGTCCTGGAGACCAAGGGCATCCCGGTAGGTCCTGCCCCCAGGCCATGGGGCCAGAGCGCCGGCATCTCCCCGAGAGCCCCGCACGCGGGGACTCATCTAGGAGCTTGCTCTGCTTTATATATAGTTTGTCTGTGTTGCCTGGCAACCCCATCTTTTTCCCCCCAACATCTCTCTCTTTCTCTCTCTCCTATTTTTTTTTTTAACCCTTCCTGAATTGCATTTAAAGTAACTTCTGCTAAAATACCTGTGTTCAGAGGCTAGGCAGGCCCGGACCTGCACATCCAGCCAGCTTTCCCCCAGTGTGGTGCTGGTGTGTTCTTAAAATTATTAATGAGAAAATTAATTTTAACTTTTTAAAGAGCCGCTGGGGTGCCATTGCTCTTGGCTTTTAATTTTAAGTTTCGCCCGTGGAAAGAAAAGTCGAATCTATTTAGAGGCACGTCTCCAGAAAGCTGCCCCCCCTTCCACTCTGTTTAGGTTCTGAGTGGGGGAGGATGGGCTCCCAGACTGGATCTCAGCCTCAGCTGGGACTGGTGACACGCGGATGGCAGCCAAGAGGGGAGGCTGCCGTGTGCACATGCACGCGTGTGTGCACAGGTGAGCCAGGCTGTCCGGAAGCCGGCGGATCGTGGTTCTCTGACGGGCAGATGGGGCAGAGTGTGACCGGGCCCCTGCGGGAGCACAGCTCTGATGCTGTCCTCAGCAGGGCCCAGACTTCTGTTCACACGCTTCTTTTAAATAATGGTTATGCACAGGAAGGGTCCCAAGCTTGGGACTAGTCTCTCTGTCTCTCTTGGTTGGTGACTCCCAGCGACTCTGTGGACGGTGGCTCCCACGGGCGGGGACGGTACTTCTCGAGTCCGTGACACTTACTGCCTTCTGATGAGGGCCTAAGGCTTTCCTTCAGGGAACCAGTTCTGTCTGCTTCTGGAACATTCTGGAGTATGAGAGTTTGATTTTCCCCTTGGCTCTCTTTTGTTGAAACGGGACATCTGTCCTTTGTTACCAGAAGGGTTATTCCCCAACTGAGGTCATGAGGTTAGTGACACAGTTTATTTGAGAGATACAGGAAATGGTGGCCCATCTTTCTGTCCTCAGCATGGCTATCAGGTCGCTGTCAGCTCCCACCCTCCGCGGGCGCTGTCTCTTCTGTCTGGTTGGGCTGGGAAGTCACTTTGAGGGTTCCCTGAGATGTTTTGAGGTCCTTGTGTTTCCAGAGCCTCCTGATCTGAACTGATGGATTCGGTTGGCCCTGGGTGTCACGCGCTGGGGTGGGGGTGGCCCGGCCAAGGAGACTGGGGGGCACTTGGGGCATTATGAGTCTGGCAGGCCCCAGGCAGGCACGACCGCCCCGACTGATCACATCTTTGTCCCCACTCACAGTTGAGATGCCTGTCCCATACCGATGGGAGGCATCATGGTGTGTGTGCCCCAGGGAGGCCCGAGCCATAGCCCCAGGGGCGGTGGGGTCCTCTGCCTCCCACCACCCTCTTCACCAGGGAAAGCGGTAGTGGGATTGCATCTGAATCACGGTCTTCTTTCTTTTGTCAACTGGTGGAAGATATAAATTATTAGCTCCCCTGAGCCATTCTTGGGGCTTTTGTGTAAAGCTTCCAAGCCCATACAGCATGTGAGACTCTCGCGTTCCCGGCCGAGAGGGGCTGACACCCCAGTGACAGGCAGTCCCTGGGAAGCTAGCGCTTAGGTCCTTAATTAGTTCACACGTCGCCTGAGTTTCTCAAATGAATGAATTTTAATTACATCTCAGGTTGAAAAAAAAATTCATGCCCGTGGAGGAGAGATCAGGGCACTGCCATTCTACTAAAGGGCTCTGTCCTTGAGTCCCCCGGCCCCCGGACGCCTGCACTGCCACCAGAGGCCTGTAGGGAGCAAAGGCGGCACATGCAGGCCACAGGTTTTAGGGGGAGCTTTGCACGTTTGGAAGGAGTCTGACTGCCCCATCGCACCCCGACGAGTGGTTCTGAGGACAGATTTGGGGACAGCTTGGTGAGGCTTGTGGACGAAGCTCGCTGGCCATGTGATCATGACGAGGTGGTGGGAAGCCAGCCCGCTGCTGACATGCTGGTGATGGCCTGATTTTACGGTACAGAGAAGGCTAGTGAAGTCAGTGGCACCGACAAAAAAGAGACAGTCTGACAGTGAGGCCCTTGCTAGGGCTGTCCCTATGTGAGTCCCGTGAGCGCCCCCTGCAGGGAGAGGCGCTGGGGCCCCCGTCACGCTCGAGGAGGCCAGTGGGGCCTCGGGAATCAGCCCACAGTCCCCAGACGTGGTGGCCCGTGTGCTCACCACAGTGGAAGGCCCCCTCCGCGGGCACAGTGCGCAGTGGGCTCCAGGCGGGGATCGTTCCGTCCGCAGTCTGGACTGCCCGGCCCCGGGAGCCCCCGGCTCTTCCCCGCTCGAGGCCCAGCCCCATCCTTGTTTCCTCCGCCCTGTGCAGTACACCCTCAACGGCAAGAAAGTGGAAGTGGCCGTGAAGCAGATCATCGCTGGAAAAGCCGTGGAGCACCGAGGGGCCTTCTCGAACCCCGAGGCCCTAGATCTGTACCGGGACATCCCTGAGCTGCAGGACTTCTGAGTCGGCCTGGCTTGCTCGGCACCTGCCACATGCGTCCGTGCTGTGACTTTCGTGGGGTCGAGACGTTACTTTGGGAAGGCAAGTGTCCGCGGGCTGGGGGGAGAGTCGTGTCCGGGCCGCAGTCGCGTCTGGTGGCTTCCCTGTCTCTTCCTGGACCACGTCCTGATCTTCAGAGGCCGAAAAGGAGCATTTGGTTGTGTGTGTGGCGAGGCTTGGAGAGTGTGTGTCTTTGCACAAGTGTTCTTGCACGCGCCATGCCTCGAGGAGCCGGGGGTGGCCTGTGCGTGGACAGTTGTGGCTGACAGTTGTGGCTACGGCCGCGCTTCCCTCTCTGGCAGCGGCACCCCTCTGAGGAGCCGTCCTGCCTTCAGCCTTGTGCCTGTCGTCCCCTTTACTGTCTTCAGGTGTAAATCTGTGTCTCCCTCTTAAGTGGGTCTTCTGGCTCTGGCCGTCGTCCCTCGGGGCCTGGCCGTCCGCTGTGACACGTGGCCTGGTCCCCGGGTGGCCCACCGCTCCTGCAGGTCCTGGGGCAGCTGTGTGTCGCGCCCACCCAACCCCGCCGCCGGCCAGCAGAGGCTCTCGCGGGACCACACGTGGCTTTCGTGCTTCAGCGGGGTTTCCTTACTTCATGGACTTCGAGTGGTTTAAAAATATTGTAACGTTTGTTATCCGGTGTGTGTGGGTGTTAGACAACTGGACGTCCGCCCTACGGGGTGGCCTCGCTCTTGGGGCGCCGGCAGGCCGCCTGGACAGCAGGCACGGGTCCTCCCGCATTGCAGCTGCCTGGCCTCAGGGGACAAAGCCTTGCTGCTCCTCCCCCTGGGGGCTCTCGGGACCTCGTGTGGAAGTGGTGTTCCCAGCAGTTGTAAATCCAGTCACGGGTTCATTCACTGGGCGGTTCATGTGTGTTCTCAGTCCAGCACATTAACGAGTTCCTGTAATCCTGATGTTCGTTTTTGTATTTGTAAAAACAGCACAATGAAAACCTGTTTTGAATCCCTTTTCTTCTGGATTATAAAAACACAGGTGGAAGGGACTAGGGGGAATTTATGCAATAAACGTCTCTCTGTATATACGTGTCTGTGCAGACACCTGTGCGTGTGCGGCGTGCTGGAGTTTCCTTGGACGGGTGACTGGATGTGCGTCCGAAGCTGTTTGTGTTGTGGGGGCCGTGCCCCAGGGGGGATGTTTGGTCACAGGGGTGGGGCATTCCCGGGCCCTGGGCATTTAGCAACGGTTCCCAGTGACTGAGAGGCCAGCTTCCCAGAGGAGAGGCCCATCCTTACCCTGGGCTCCCTCATGGTTCCAAGCAGCCAGGTACCGGGACAGCAACCCATGTCATTGTAAGAGCCATGCGTCCCTGGGAGAGTGTTGCAGAATCCAGGCTTTGCCCGGAAAGAAGGGCTGCTTTTTCTCCCGTCTGGGGGATGGTGGAGGCAAGCGTGTGTCCGGGGCCTGGGTAGTAATTGCACTACATCGTCCTCCATCTGTAGCTGCCCCGCCTCTCACCTCCCATCATGTTCCTGGAAGGAAGCTGGAGGAAGTGATGGGTGGGCTGGGTGAGGGGCAGAAAGGCCCTCCTCAGCTCAGGTCATGATCTCAGGGTCCTGGGCTCAAGCCCCGCATCGGGCTCTCTGCTCAGCGAGGAGCCTGATTCCCCCTCTCTCTCTGCCTGCCTCTCTGCCTACTTGTGATCTCTCTTTCTCTCTCTGTGTCAAATAAATCAATCTTTAAAAAAGAAAGAAAGAAAGAAAGTCCTCCCTCTCTGATCTGTCCCCTTGTCATCAGCCAAACAGTGGCTCTTCTGGAAACCCCACCCCGTGCGGCTCTGCTGGTACCTAAGTGACCAGAATTGGGCCACACGGCCATCCCCAGCGGCAAGGGCGTCCGGACATCTGAGCATTTTTAAACAGGACCCGTCACCTTTTTCATATTTGTTTTTTGTTGCTGTAACAAATTACCATGAACTCAGTGGCTTAAAACACAAATTTATTACTGTGGCTGGAAGCCTGACGCAGATCTCGCTGAGCTATAGTCAAGGTGCACCGGCTGTGCTCCTCCCGGAGGCCCTGGAGGAGAGTGTCTCCCTTGCCTTTTCCAGCTTCCGGAGGCGCCCTCCCCTGTGGCTGCTGGCTCATGCCTCCATCCCCAGAGCTGCAGGGCCTCCTGCCTCCCGCTTGCACACAGAAGCCCTCTGTGATCACGTCGGCCCCGCTCCAGTAATCCGGGATCATTTCCCTATCTTAACATCTGTTGACTCGCACACTCGCTTCCATGTGCCACCTTAAATCTCCTGGCCGCAGAACCCGACCTCTTCCTGGGGCATGTTGGGGGCTCAACTCTGCCTCCCTCACTTTGCAAACACGGTCAGGTCCTGCTGGTGAGGAGGACGGGAGAGCGGCCATCAGAAGCTGTGAACTCTGTGCTGGAGCTGCTGGGTGGTTGGGACCCCTGGCTGTCGACTCACCCTGGGCTCAGCTTGTCCCCCTACTGTGGGCCTGGCTGCTAGCCTCCCTCCCGGGACTTGGGCTCCACCCCACTGGGGGCTCTGAGCCCATGTCAGACTGTTCCAGAGGTGTTGTTAAGACTTAACTGCTGTGCCTTTTGAGTTCCAGCAAGACCCCCCGGGCTGGCCAAGCCCACACTTCCATGTTAATATGCTGCGCTGGACAGCTTCATTAATGAGAGACAGATGGTCTGAGCGACCGCCATCGAACCCCGTGGTGCTGGCTCTCCCACGGTGTGCCTTGGCCCTGGCATTGCCCTGAAAGCACCTGCTGGTCAGTGGCCTTTCCCTTTGCGATGCCTGCAGGTTGTACCCCCCAGTCTCCTTCCCAACCTTCTCCCGGTTCCCCAGCACGTCTGTTCCCCAACTTCGCCAGGAGCATAGGGACCTGCAGTGCCGCCTGGCTGGGGGCTGCCTGGCCAGGGGGCTCCCTCCTCCGGGTCTGTCTTCCCACCTCTAAGAACTTTCTCGGGGGTGGGGGGAGGGATCTTGCCCACCCCTGCCTCCTCACCTGTACAGAGAATCCTAGGGACCCTGGAGCACTTACCCCTCCAACACATTCTGTGCTGTGCTCCTCTGCACTGGCTTCAGAATGACCCCTCTTGCTACGGGCATGTGCCTGCTGGCCCCCCCTTCATTCCCAGCCCCAGAGGAGCCCAGATCTGCTCTCTCATTGGGATCCCCAGTCCCTAACAAGCCCCGGAAGGGTGTCTCCTTGACCTTTTAACCCACCACCACCATGTTTGTGGACAGGAGAGACTCTCCCCTTGGGCTTCAGGTGCTCAGGGCAAGGTCTTGTGGGGAATGAATTCCCTTTGAGGGCCCAGCCATGTCCCCAACTCTGGACTTGAGCCTTCAAAGGGAAAGCCACACACAGATTTGCGGGGATGAGTGGTAGCGGTCTGGCTCAACTAGAAAGAGGTTTTTCCCTGCAACAGCTTGAAGGTGAATGGGTGGCCTGAAGGGTAGGTGGCTTGCCTTTGCAAGGTCGCCCACATGACATGCGCTTCTAACACCCGGTTGCCCCACCATCCCCTACATGGCGGCCTGGTCCTGTGACCCATGCCGGTCACATTCACACTGCAGCCCCCTCCCTTCCGCTTCTTGCCCATCCGCCCCCACCCGTCCCACAGCTGCTCTCAGCGGCAGGAGGCTGGGCTGTGTGCTCGCTGGCTGGATCGCACCTGACCTGCAGCTGGAGTGTCAGCCCCGGGGGAGAAGACATGCGTGCGTGTGAAGGCAATGCTTCCTTGTCTTTGTGCCTCTGCATTTTTGAAGGTAAATTGTAGGGTTTATGAGGCAAACTTGTGGGCCTTTATAACATTTTGGCCATGTGTGTGTATGCACGCATGTGTGCATATATGTTTGTGCCTATGCAAACGTCTGCATGTGTATGTTTGTGTGTGAACCTGTGTGCATGTGTGCGTGTGCTGACATTACACACAGCTCATCCGAACCCAGAAGAGCAGGGTGGTGAACACATCCGGTGTATGTGTTTTTCTATCAGGGTGAGGGACCCGAACCAGGCGCTCACTCACACGTGGCACACATGGGCCAGCGGGGAGACTCCCCGTCTCACATTTGCCTGGCCCGACTCTGGCTGCTCACGGCTCCGCCATCTCAGCCTGTCCCCCCGAGCGGTTGCCAGGGTGGGGATGTCTTTCCGTGTCCCAGTCAAGCGGCTTTTCCTGGGCATCTGCAGGACTGGGGACTGGGCAATAACTGCCTCTTCCAGTGATGTACCCTGTTTGTCACTGGGGCCAGTGGTCACCAAGCGTGGTGAGTCCCTTGCTCTAGGGAGTGGGTGCTTCGGGCAGGAAGACAGGTGGTCAGCAAGGAGAGGTGAGGAGGCCTGACCAGACACCACGGCCAAGGCTTCTCCAAGGAGACGGTGCTGAAGGCCGGCCTCCGAGGGGAGCTGCCCCGTGAGAAGGTGGGAGGTCAGCCCGGGGGCAGAGCAGAGCAAGCCTCAGCCATGGTCCGGAGAAGCACATGGACTGACCCAGAGGCTCAAAGGAGACGTGACTTGGAGAAAGGGTACAGAGCCGAGTGGGAGAGGGGCCGCGTTGTGGAAACTAGAGTGTGGACTGTGTTCCGAGGGGCACCAGGAAGCCACAAGGAGTTGGAGCCCAGCAGTGACATTGGTGTATGCCCATGTAGAGGGGTAGCCAGGCGGAGCAAGGATCTGGATCAGGAGGTGGGTGGGTCCAGCTGGGTCCAGCTTTCTCCCATCTCCTCCTCCTCTGTTCTCTCGCTGCAGTCCCAGCACCCCTTGTGCACAGAATTCGAGAACCACTGTGGTTCATCAGGCACATCGGTGTAGAACACACAGCCGGGACAGGCGGAAGCCTGTTGTATCGGGCTAGAAGCCCAGATTGGCTTTGACGAGTTGTGGTTCTGTCTCTCCAGGCCATGGTTGCCTTTTCTGTCAGTTCTGAAAGCCTGCTACTATTCTGTCCCCGTGTCCTCAAGACTGTCATAAGGTCATAAGCAAATAAGTGAAGGCCTATTAAGATGATGTTTAAACTACGTTACAAGCCAAGCCCTGGCTCGGCTGTCGTGGTCGATCACGTCGGACCGCAGCCTTGACCGTCCGAGCAGTAAGTGGATGGTCTCATCGTTTCATTAGATGACTTCCAGCGGAGAAACAGTTGTTCATCAACTCATTATTATGTGCTGGAATGGTTTGCAAACCTCTTCATCTTGCTGGGGCTGCCCTCCCTGTTCTGGCTCCTGCCTTCTTTCCTGGCCTCAAACAGCTAAGGCACAAGTCAGGGTGGTTTTAGGGGCATGAAAAGAGGTGGTTG